AAAAAAAAATTTAATTTTTGAAAAATTGCAACTCTAAGGTGTTACTATGAAGTCTGAATGTATTTAATTAAGCTATATTTTGGTCTTTAAGGCAAAACTCTTGTTTTTGTCCTAAAAAGCGTGTTATCTACCTATATTAGAGATGGAGCAGGGTCTGGACCAAGGCCTGGGTTTCCAGGAACAGGTCCAGAGTCCAGGAACAGGCCCAGGCTTTTTAAAGATCTCGATCTCTACTACATATACTAATAAAAAATAAATACATTTTTTAATTTAGATAAAAATAGAGTTAAGGTCTACAATTCTGATATTGTCCTAAACAAAATTAACATTTTTCTCAATTTTCTTGCATTAATTGAATTACTCGAATCAATGTTTACTTTAGAATATTTAAATACAAAATGGGAAAATTTGGAGATTTTAATGGATTTATTTTCAATTTTTGAAGAATGTAGGAAAATACCCGATGAATGTTTTTGTATGGAATTAAATAAAAAATATGAGGAAAAAACAAAGAAATTAGTAAAAAAGAAGATTAATGAATTTTTATTTAATTATGTTTATGGAATATTAAAAATTAGAGTTGGACGTTTAATTAAAAATTAAAATTAATTAATCAGAAGGAGACAAAATTTAAAGGGAAAAAAAGAAAAGAATATCTAAGCAAAAACACAAATTTTTTTAATATTTTATAAATTTCGTTATTGTCGAAGACAGTCGGAAACAGCCATAATTTTAATATAGCGAAGGGTGGAGGATATAGGACAGTTAAGCTGGATCCTCTTCTGCATTCCGCCTTCCGCTTTTTAAAATTCAAAATTCTCCAGCCTTGATACATAGGAAAGTTAAGCATTTATTCATATCAACCTCAGTGTGAGGGTAAGGTGGAAGTTTGTGGTCACCAGTTGACCAGCCATGAACCTTGTTATCATGGATGGGCGCAATTGCGTATTGCGGCTGCGGAACTTTAAAATTAAAATTTCGCCCAGCCCTGCTTGTTATACAAGGAGATAACTAAAATATCCCTCGACCTCGATTCGAGCTATACTCTTTTGAAATTTAATTGGCAACTGGTTGGGGGAGTGTCAAATAGATACCCTCTAATATCTCCGACTGTACATATTTATTTAATTTGTAGAAAATATATTTAATATAGTCTTATTTAATTAAACTAATATTTATAAATATTCTAAAGGGTCTAGTTTAGATATTAAAATTAGATAGTAAATTAAATAGACAAATGAATCATCTTTTTTAAATAACCTATGTAGAATTTTAAATATAAAATCACTCGACACACACATACATAAACATTTACCCTACCCACAAAAATATAAATTAAAGCCCCCAACTAAAATATCCAAAAAAATATTTTTAACAAAATTTAAAATTAATTAATTTAAAAATAATGCCCAATATTCCTCCTCCCTTCAAAGAATTCGACAGAAAAACTTGGACAAAAGGTTTTGTCTTCATCTTTTTAGTTGTTAGTTTTTTCCTTCTCGAATATTTTCTTGATCGACAAATAATTAATTTATTTAATGGATGGGAAGATGGAAAGCAAGAAAATGATAAAGGTGATGTTCAAATACGTCGACGTTTGAATGACCTTACTTATAAAGAATTGAAAAATAATTAATTAAGAAAAAGAAGGAAGAAGCCGAAGATTTTTAGAAAATTAATTTTGGTTTTGAATATCTACATACATGTGTCACCGTCCAAATTACATTTTAGGAAGAATTGAATTTGACCGGCAAAATTCAATTTGGACGGCAAAATTCAATTCGGCCGGCTAAATTGAATTTGGCCTAAAATTTAATTTGGACGGTGACATACAGGCTTGGTAATGGATTTTGGTATCTGTATCCGGATATTATCCGTATCCATTACCAAGCCTGGTGACCATATGCACTATATATCTTCGAAGAAAGAAAATAAAACCTTAAATGTCATGAATTTAGAAACCTTTTTGTGAAATAAACGTATACTTTATAAAGCAAGTATGAGAAGACACGGGGGTTTTATTTTAAAATTTTCAGAAAAAGTTTAAAAATCCTTATAATTTATTTTTAAAATAATACAAATCAAGCTACAATACACGCTAACGACAATAAATTGCCTATTAATCCAAAAAATCATTCACAAACATAAAAGGAATTTAAGGGGCAACTTCTCTTTGTTTCGCCCCCACTTTAAAAAAGGGGGGATAGATAATAAAAACAACACAATTGCCAACTGTTCTTAGAAAAATTATTAAAAAGCCAACTGTTTTTTTATTATTCGAAAAAAATTTTTGTTTTAGTGTTTTGCTTCATTTTCTTTTTATTTTTTATTTTCTATTGATCAATCCGCTTATGTAATTTTTAATGAAAATATTTTACTTGAATATGTAGCTAAAAACAATTTTTAAATTTCTTTACTTCGTCTATGGGTGAAAGTTCCCTTTGTTTGGAAGGAAAATTCAGAGAATATGAGGATCTGAAATAGGACTTTGAATGACGTAGCTTTAGGTGAGACTCTTTTTTTGAGAGATTCTTTCCCGTCATAAAGTTCATGGGAAGGGAAAAGGGAAGTGAACAATGATGGGAATTTGAATTTATATGTAGGAATTCCTGGAAGGTTTTCAAGTCTTTCCATTGTTCGCAAACGTCGTCCACACTTAAATATACATAGTAAATCAGGGTAAAATTTTGTCATATCTCCCATAGTGGATATCGGGGTAATAGTTCGGATGAGACCCCCCCTTTTTTCCTTTTTCAAAATGTTTAAAAATGGTCAGTTAGTTAATCAAATTTTGTGTTTATAGAACTCAACGAGCTGTGTCGAATGACACCTAAATCAACCCTGGTTCTTAAATTTAGGCCTAGATACAGACAAAACACTGCGCAAAGCGAGGGGTTTTGTACAAGCATCTCGCCTACAGCAAAAGGATTACTTTATGCCATAACTTTGTCAAATCTTGTTCAATTATGTTGATTTTGATGTCATTCGAATCAGCTCGACCAACTCTTTCGAATGAGCTATCATTTGTTTAATTGAATTTTTAGCCCAAAAAATGAGCTTGGTCCACCCTTTTATTTTTCAATTTTTGGGGGTCTGTATCTCGGCCCAAAGTAAAGACCTTGGGTTGATTTCGGTGTCATTCGACACAGCTCGACGAGTTCTATAACCTTAGACTGACTGACCATTTTTTAATACCTTTAAAAAAGAAAAAGGAGGGGGGGTCTCATCCGAACTATTACCGATATCGGAGATATGACTTGAGGATATGACGTCATGTCTCTCATAGCGTCATATCTCCATATTCTTACCAACAACATGTCATTCTAAAGAGTTCACCGAGCTGAGTCAAATAATTTTACATATTTTGACCATTATGAGACCATAACTTGGCTATTAGTTGAGTCTTATTTTAATTTTAGTGTCGTTCGACTAAGCTCGCTAGTTTCTTCGAATGAAATTTTGTTTGTCCAAATCGGAGTATGAGAGATATGACGGAATTTTTCCCAAGTCAGATCCTTAAAAATTGCATTTTTTGAAGACGGGTCGCACCGTTCATTCATTTTTCTGCGTATAAAGACGCAAACACACTAAACCCCCCCCCCCATCTTCTCCCACAAATATTTTCGCTATACTTTCTCCCTAAAGTAAATGGTCAGATGCAGTTCCTCCTTAGCTTTTCATTTAAAAATAGCGAAAGAAAGCACTCGTATTGATCGACAAATTGTTTGGCTGATGAGCATTTACACACATTTTTAGTGTATATTTACAACCATGATCAGCAGGTGGTTGTTTGGGGGAGAGTAAGTACATACTTGTTTTTATTTTTGTAGCAAATGACGCTTTTCCATGCTGTTTTTGATTTTAAATTAATTTGTATTTTTTTGTTTTATTATAATTTAATTTTACAATATACAAAGTTTGCAATTTTAAACAAAATTTGTGTTTTTTAAGTTTGTACTAATCTTAGGGTTTAATTTCATTCAATTTCTTTCAACTTTAATTTAATTTCTTCGTTGTTTTTAAGCTGAAGCTTCAGTTAAATACTACTAAAATTTTTTTCGTCACATTATTTTTGGAAAAAATTGTTTTAGGGCCCAGACTCCAATCCGAGTGATATATATGTCATTCGAATTGGGCCGAGATATAGGGCTCGAAAAGGTCAAAAGCCACTTTGAATGCAAATTTTATTTATAAATATTAAAGTTTATTAATTTTTTGTTTTAGGTTTATCTTTACTAAAATTTAAATTTATCAACTATTTTTAATTCCTTACAACCTTGTTTTTACCTTTGTAAAAGCCTCACTAATTTATATTTTAATTTTTAATATTCCAAAATTTAAACTTTTCTAATCTTTCCCCTACTAATTTGTTATTGATCTAAAGAACGCAGTTCCTCCACCCATCATTACTTTACTTCTTTTAACCTTTTTCGGTGTTTGCTTATTTTATGAGTCACCCATTCATTTATATAAGGTTTTTCTTTTATTTTTTTAATTTTCTTTTAAAATTACTCTCTCCAAGCTTTATATTTAAATTCAAAAAATTTTTTTAATTTACTAATAGTTTTTGTTTTAATTTTACATATAAAATGGGGAGATTGTTGCCAATAATTAATTAAAGTGTACAACCCATTTAGGCGCGCGACCATTTCGGCGCAAAGCCATAAATTGCTTCAAGATTTCCGAATCTTACCAAATTTAGTATTAAACGATTCCTCTCATCGAGCTGAAGAGATTGGTACCAAAATTGAGACGGTCTAGAAATTTTCCAGTTAGTTATGGCTTTGCGCCGTTATGGCCTCGCGTCTGGGCGTGTCCCTTTAATTAAAGTTTATATTTTCTTTTAAATTTATTTAATTTATTTAATTTTTTTTCTTCCTTGCTTTACTTCATTTACATATTTTTATATTTATTTTCCTATATTTTACTTAGGTGTCTTAATAAATAAATAATATTAAATATTTTATTTACTCCATATATATTTATTTTTGTTTCTAAAAATGGCAGCAAAGTGTGCTCGAGAAGAGTGTGGAAAAACTGTTTATCCAATTGAAGAGCTTAAATGTTTGGATAAAGTAGGATTTAAAAAAAAATAAATTTTGAATGGAATTTTAAAATTTTTTTAGGTGTGGCACAAAGGTTGCTTTAAATGTACTGGTAGGTTTTTTTAATTGTGAAGCAAAATTTTAATTAAGAAACACGAAAAGACAAGCTGAAACTTTAGTTTTTTAGAAAATAAACTCGAGTTTGTAAAGCCGACATAGTATTTCTTCAAATAGAGCCTCACCCTCTATTACAGCCCCACCTTGGAGGATAGTTGAAAAATAGAGCCTCATGGGAATGTACTAGAGGAAATACGGTAGATTTAAAAGGGGTTGGACACGACCTGTTCTCAAACCTAAAATTTTGATATTTCATGCCAAAAATTAATCTTGTTCTATAAAATTTTAGAAAATTCCCTCAAAATCAAAGCGGTATTTTAACGAAAACTTTAAACGAAATCGAAGTTCTTAAATTGGATTAACTGTAGGTCGTGAGTGTCTGTTAATAACCGTTAGTGAACACCTCTAATAAATACTAGAGTTTCACAGGAAGTTCCGGTTCTGGAAAGTTCAGGCGTTTTTTGGTTCCGGTTCCGGTAACCGGAACTCAAATTGGATCCGGTTCCGCTAAAAATATTGGTTCCGTTGAAGCACTAATAAATACCTTCCTCTGTTAATTTAAAAATAAACCTTATAATTTCTTAATTTTTTTCAATTTTTAAGCTTGCGGAATGACTCTTTCAATGAAAACATATAAGGGTTATGAAAAGAAGCCTTATTGTGAAGTAAATTGTTTTTAATTTTTTACTCGAAATTACTTCATATTTGAAGGCTCATTACCCAAAAACAGTGCCTTCAGCAGTAATTGACACTCCAGAAATGGAAAGAGTGCGGATTAACACTAAAAATCAGTCCGCGGTGAGGAAATGATTTGGAAGGGATTTTCCTCTAAAAATTAAAATTTCTAAAGGTCCAATACCACGAACAATTTGAGAAAATGCGTGGAACAAAGATTGAGGTTGCCGATGATCCAGAAATGAAACGTTTATTGGACAACACAAAAGTCCAGTCATTGGCACATTATCACGGAGAACATCAAAAGAAAGTTGATCAGGATGCTCACCGTTCCGGGGGAGAAAGCCCAAACCCTGCGGCTGCTGCAGCGGCGGGTAGCGTTTTGATTTTAATAAATTGTAAAAGAATTTAAAAAAATGTAACGTGTCCGGACAATCCATCAAAGGAAAATTCTTCGGGTATTGTGACTTATAGGGGGTTTTTTTGGCTGGACCGATTTGGACAAATGAGGTGTCATTCGAAAGAGCTCGCCGAGCTGAGTCGATTGAGGGGCGAGTGGAGTCGATCCGACAATCAGGGACCGAGATACAGACCCCTCAAGTTTGAAAAAGAGAAGGTGGGAGTAAGCTCATTTTGGGGTGAAAAATTCGAAAATGCAAATAATAGCTTATTCGACTCAGCTCGTCGAGCTGAGTCTCCCCCTTCTCTTTTTCAAACTTCAGGGGTCTGTATCTCGGTCCCCGATTGTTGGATCGACTCCACTCGCCCCTCATTCGACTCAGCTCGGCGAGCTCTTTCGAATGACACCTCATTTGTCCAAATCGGTCCAGCCAAAAAAAACCCCCTATAAGTCACAACATTCAATTCTTCAATCCTTTCACCACACCAACCTACCGCCGCCAAACATTTTTATTCTTTTCAGTAGGGAATTAATAGAAATTTGGGAGATTAACGGAGATATTGAAAGATTTGGCAAGCTTAAAGGGTATCAAGGGCATATCCAGATTTCCTCCGATTTTAGCACCGCAGGCGAAAATTTTTTGAAATCTGGACGATCATAGGCGAAAAAATTACACTTTTTTGCTCAATCCCCTCCTCAAATTTTTCCCTTTTCCCAATTTCGGAGGGAGGGGGGGGGGCTTTAGCCCCAGAAACCCCCTGGCTACATCCTTGAAGGGGATATCGGTGGAATACAAAAATATTTTTACAATTGTAAAAAGTTTAAAAAATGTTTTTCTTTTACCCCCATTTTTCGTTTATTTTGCTAACAAACTTTTTTTATTTTTGCTTCATTAAAAATTAATTTTGTTTGGTTTGTTTTTTAAAGCTTTCTTTGCAACAGCAGCAACAGCCAATATTCAACCAACACCTGCTTATGAGCCTTCCCATAAAGTTTACAATTCTAATTCTATGGAGTCTATTTCTACACATTCTTCTTCACAACCTTCCAATACTACACATTTACATTTAAATTATGTAAGTTTTGTTTTTGATTTTCCGAAGTTAAAATAATTTTCTAACGACTTGTTTTGGGTAAACCCATAAAGTTTACAATAAACCCATACCCATAAGCCTCCCCTCGAGTTTAGGGTTTCCCTTTCTTCTTCCACAAGTTTTTCCCTTATCATGTACAGAACGGTCAGACTTCCTCAACTTAATCATTTATTAACGTTATCGAATATGCTACAGGGAGAATAGAGTGAAATTGAGTAAGGAAGAAAATCTGACAATTCTGTACATAATAAGAAAAAAATAAGGAAAAAATTGGGGAAGAAAAGGGGAACCCTAAACCTGGGTTTGCCCCTTGTTTTTCTAAGTGGCTACTTTTCTCGAATTTTTATCTCGTTGAATCGGCACTTATTTAATTTGTTTTTGGGGGAACTCCGTGAATTTGGGAACAGAGTTGCGTCGTAATTACGAATTACGATTACGAATTACGGTGTTTTTTCAGTTACGAATTACGATTACGAAAAAATTTTTTAAATTACGAATTACGATTACGAAAATATAGGGAAAAATTACGAATTACGAAAATAACGTTGCCATTAAATTTTAGAATGAAAAGGGGAAGAAATATTTGAAATATTTATATTTTCTCTCACATGTACTTTTGTTTATCGGTGGTTGAGTGGGTTAAAAGTCAAGCTTCACTTATTTGATATTTTGTTAGGTTTGGTTCGAATCCATGTGTGGGAAATAATATTTAGACAATTCATTTTTTCAAAAATAAACGTTTTTAAACTTTTTTTAGGTTTGTAAATTTATATTTTTAATATCTTATAATTGAAAAAACTTAAAAATTTTTAATTTAGTCATGAATTTTCTAAAAATTTTCGCCTGCGGCGCTGAATATATGAGTTTTGGCTCAGGATTAAGTGAGAGTGATTTGACTTCATATCAAACTTAATCTTGGACGATAATTCCTCATGATTGATTAAAGAGATATCGAGGATTATTAGGATTAAGAGGGATATCAGGGAATTAATTGGGATTTGAATAATATCAGAGAAATAAGAAGACTTGGAGAGATTAATGGGAGAAGCAGCAATTATTAATGGATATTTGATTTTTAAAATTAATTTAAATATTTTTGAAAAATTACGAATTACGAATTACGGCATTTTTTCAGTTACGAATTACGAATTACGATTACGAAAAAATTTTTTAAATTACGAATTACGATTACGAAAAAAAATTTTCAATTACGACGCAACTCTGTTTGGGAACCCTCCATTATTAAAGTTAAAAATATTTTAAATTGGAATCTCAGAGAAATTTTTAAAAATAATTTTCACCTCATGGGGGCTAAGACTAATTTTTCTTATTTTTATTAAATATTTTTTAAAAAACAGCAACAAATAAATAATGGAAACGAAAATAGTAATGGAAATCCAGCAACTTCCTTTAATGTTTATGGATTATTAGCTGCTGTGGATGCAAAAAAGAAAAATAAAGAAAATGATGGTATATCTCCATATACTCAAAGGTTAATGCAACAAACACACGGAACTATTGTTTATTCGACAGAAATGGGTGGAAGGGGTGTGTTTTTGTTTTGGTCTTTTAATTAATTTTTGAGTTGTTTTGCTGTTTTTTAAAATTAATACGAGTGTTCTTGTATTTTTCCTTAAGCGTTTTCCTAGTTTACCTAATTAGACCCCGCTTTGTATGTACTAAAATTAACTTCTAGTCCAGTTTGCCCATCAAAAATTTTTATTAAAATTCAGTCTTGCTATTAGAAAAAATTTATTAGGGCTTAAAATACTTGGATATTTGTTAAAGAATACAGAGACCTCTTGATTAGGGACTGAAAATATAAAAATATAATATATCGACAAAGCAGTCAAATTTTAAAATTTCTGTTAAAATGGATGTATTTAAGTTAAGGTGCAAGTAAAGTAGATAACTGACACTTAAGTATATTTACTTCAATAAAAAATTTATTTAAATTAAAAATTTAATTTTCTAAAAAATTTCTCTTTCAGTTTCCCCAACCGAGAAAAAACCTGTCGGTTCAATTGCAGATTATGACCCTATGAGCGGTTGAAAACTCCAAATTTTATTTAAAAAACATTCAAAATTTAGCAGAACAACCAACCAAACAAATAAACGCTTCTGGGCCTACAGGTGGTGGAAAAGCCCCTGGAGGAAAGGCTGCGACTGGGGGGTTTACTGTTAAAGCCCTTTATGATTATACAGCGGCGGATAAAGATGAAGTGAGAGTAAAATTGAAAAATAAATTTAAAAATAATTTTTTAGGTTAGCTTTAAGGAGGGAGATGTTATTGTTAATTGCCAAAAAGTGGATGATGGCTGGTCAGTTTTATTTGAAATTTTTTAAAAAGTTTTTTAAGAAAAAGTTTTGATAAAGTTTTAAGATTTTAAACCTTAATTACAAAAAACTTATATTTAAATGGTAAAAGCCTCAATTTAAATTATGCTCGTGAAATACCAAACATTTTTGATTCAGACAGAAATGGGAAGGGGACAAAATCGGACTAAAAACATAGTATATATTCCAACAGGTTATAGGCACCACTAATCTTTTTTCGTATCTTTCAAAGTAAGCAACGGTTCCTAACCGCGCTGACTTGGAATCTTATAAGTAGAATTGTCGGTCAACTAAATTCTTCGGTTTTAACTGATATGCTAAACCGAAAACTGAAATCTTACTTTTTGTTTTAGAACGACAACTCAGTTTGTTTTTGGACTTAATTAATTTCTAGTTATAAGTTAACTAAAGTTTAAAATTTGTAAATAAGTTGATATCAAAAAAAATCAAATTGTTTTTTAGGTTAACCGGAACAGTACAGAAAACATTGTTATGGGGAATGTTGCCAGCTAATTATGTTGAGAAGATTAATACACCGACAGGAATGTTTCGTGTAAAATAAATGAGAGGATGGAGCCTTTTAAAAATTATATTTTTGGAATTTTGAAAAACAGCAACGGATAATTTGATTTTAATATTAAAATATATTAAATATTTTATTTTGGCAATTTATTTTGTTTAAATTTTTTAGTATTTTATTAAGATTATTAAACTAGATACTTAGAACAGAGGTGACTCGATCGGTTTTTTTTTCAAAATCCCGAGTATTTATTTAAAATGTTACACGATCACAAATCAATAATTGGAATTTTACAAAAATTCAAGGTTAGAGCACGCGGGAAAAATACGCCGAAAATGAACAAGAGTAAAAAACGAGATATGCGGTGGTGAAAATCAAAGACAGAACTGAGGGCCGAAACTGAAGATATTCCAAAAGAAAACGAAAACACCCGTAACAGTTTTAAAAATGTTCCGTTTGGGGAGGGGCAAAGGTCTCTCGAAAAAAGAAAAAACTAAAAAATGATTTTCCCAATACTTATGGTAAATTTACATAATCCGTCCCATCCCCTAGCCAATAATGGCGGCACCCTTAACACCCCACCCACTAACCAGTTTATACTGCATAGTGGGCAGGGTGAAAAACATTGTGAGGAATACCATTATGAAAAACTATCGCCTCAATTCCAGTAAATTCGACTAACAAACGTCTCTCACAAATATAGATCCCGTCCTCTTTTGCCTAATTTAAATAAAATAAAAATAGGAAAGAAAATATTTTTGTAGGATTTTATTTAAAAAATAGGACCTCAACTATACCCCAATCTCTAAGTGTATTAAGAAATATTCATTAAAAAATACACGAATCAAACTATAAAATGGAAACCATAAAAATATTTAAAAAAGGGAAAAATATTATTATAAAAATATAAATTAAAAGTACCGAACAAAGTAAAATTGCATAACCATGTCCACCATAAGCATGAAAATGGTCCTGTCCCTCTCCATCAACAGTTCCATAAACTGTTCTTCCATCAATCCATCAACTGGAATCTTCCATCAAACTGGAAGTGAACCCTTCCCGGTAATTTTAATAAAAAATTAGTTTAATCATAAAAAATTAAAATTACTTTGTTGGTGTTGTTGTGCCATTTTTTTGGAAAACCAATTATTTCTAAAAAATAATTTTTAATAAAAATTTAAAAAAATTTAAAATAAACTTGTTGTTTAAAGCAAAGAAGATTGTTTAATACTAAATTTTGAAAGATTGAAAAAAAGAAAAAGCAGGCAAATTTGAAGTTTTTTTTTAAATTTTTTCTAAAAAATTTATTTTTAATTAAAAATAGGTGTGATCTTAAATTAGATTCCTAAACTTTAGATGGTCAATAAAATGAAAATCAAAAAATTAAAGGAAAAAACTGAAAAAAAGCAATGAGCGACTTTAATTAAAAATAATAATTTTTTAGAAAAAATTTAAAAAAAACTTCAAATTTGCCTGCTTTTTCTTTTTTTCAATCTTTCAAAATTTAGTATTAAACAATCTTCTTTGCTTTAAACAACAAGTTTATTTTAAATTTTTTTAAATTTTTATTAAAAATTATTTTTTAGAAATAATTGGTTTTCCAAAAAAATGGCACAACAACACCAACAAAGTAATTTTAATTTTTTATGATTAAACTAATTTTTTATTAAAATTACCGGGAAGGGTTCACTTCCAGTTTGATGGAAGATTCCAGTTGATGGATTGATGGAAGAACAGTTTATGGAACTGTTGATGGAGAGGGACAGGACCATTTTCATGCTTATGGTGGACATGGTTATGCAATTTTACTTTGTTCGGTACTTTTAATTTATATTTTTATAATAATATTTTTCCCTTTTTTAAATATTTTTATGGTTTCCATTTTATAGTTTGATTCGTGTATTTTTTAATGAATATTTCTTAATACACTTAGAGATTGGGGTATAGTTGAGGTCCTATTTTTTAAATAAAATCCTACAAAAATATTTTCTTTCCTATTTTTATTTTATTTAAATTAGGCAAAAGAGGACGGGATCTATATTTGTGAGAGACGTTTGTTAGTCGAATTTACTGGAATTGAGGCGATAGTTTTTCATAATGGTATTCCTCACAATGTTTTTCACCCTGCCCACTATGCAGTATAAACTGGTTAGTGGGTGGGGTGTTAAGGGTGCCGCCATTATTGGCTAGGGGATGGGACGGATTATGTAAATTTACCATAAGTATTGGGAAAATCATTTTTTAGTTTTTTCTTTTTTCGAGAGACCTTTGCCCCTCCCCAAACGGAACATTTTTAAAACTGTTACGGGTGTTTTCGTTTTCTTTTGGAATATCTTCAGTTTCGGCCCTCAGTTCTGTCTTTGATTTTCACCACCGCATATCTCGTTTTTTACTCTTGTTCATTTTCCGACGAATTTTTGTAAAATATCAAAATTACAATTCAACATAAAAATGATACAAATTAAAAAAAATTTACTGTTCTCTCCCATTAGCTCCATATTTTGTATAACTGTCCAAAGTGTTAAAATTTCTAAAAATGTTTTTTTATTCTAAAAATTCAAAAGAAAAACAAACTCATAAGATGAATGACTTTTCTGTTCCAACTTTACAGCAGATCCATAAAGTAAAGCTCCAGGTTCATTACTTCATTACTTCCCAAGCTTAGGACAGATTTAGATGCATCTTGGATTGGTGAAAGTAAAGAAGTAGACCGTCTAGTAAATACTCTAATTCCGCCAATATCAGTGTTAAAACAAGCATCAGAAGAAAATGAAAAACTAAAAAATAAAATTTTAATTGGCATAAAACTTTGAATTAAAGAACCAGAAAAGAACATGTCTCTGTTTTTTTAAAAACTTCAAACTATTTTTTGATAAATTTTGAAGTCATTTTATGGATATACCCAACCCTAGTCTTTATTAATGTCTCCCATTTGAATATGCTACAAGAAAAATCCTGTTAAGTGAAGGAAAAAGGAAAAGATAAAATTTACGGACATGTGGGGGTATAATTCGATGATAACTGAATTCAAATAAACAACTTTATAAGAAGCATACGACAGGACAAAAGCCCAAATATTTTTCAAAAAAAATTTCAAACCTATTTTGTTCTTTAAAAGTAGTCATCATAGCCAAACACCAATGTGAAATAACTTTGTAAACACCTTCTTTTGAATTAATTTCCAAAAATTCGCAAAGCTTTACAGCCATAGGCCAATGTCCCAAAACAACTAAACGATCAACAATTGAAGCTGGGGAAAGTTCTTCTAATTGAGTAAATGTTAAAGGAATTCCCATAAGTCGAAGAGCATTTAAAACACGAAGAAGACGACAAATACGAACAAATTTATCAGCATCGTAAGGTCTTTGACATCTACGCATTCCTATTGAAGCTGCCTTTAAATTCTGAAAAATTAAATTTTTTAAAACCTTCCAAAGTCAGCAACAGGGGTGCGCGAGAGGCAATCGTGAAAAACGCAAAACGCGATGCGCTCACCCCTGGTCAGCAAGTCATTTTTTAAAGACTTTGGTGATGATTCAAAAATAAAAAAATTAGAAACCTTTAAAAGTTGTTTTTGTAATTTCGAGTCAAAATGGTGTGGAGCAAATGATAAACATTGATCTACAGCTATATTCATATCCTCTGGATTTATTGAACGAATAAATCTAAAAATAAAATTTTAAATATGGCCTCTTCGCTCGCTAGTACTAGTCAGAGGCAAACGATTACATTCGGACAAAAAATTTCAATAACACCCCACCGCTATTAGATAATAGTGATGTTCAGGAATAAAATTTAGCGAGACTCGTGATTGAGAATCTCGAGCAGCCCTATTAGATTACACACTAAATTTTTAGTTCAATTGGCCAATGTGTGGGAAGAGGGGACGGCTATTTAACATAAGAAATACGCTCAATTTTGATATCAATAATTTACAAAGCACATTTCTACCAAAAATTTTTCTAGTCAGTATTTTAAAAAATAAAAAAAACAAACTCATAAGATGCATGACTTTTTTGTTCCAACTTTACAGCAGATCCATAAAGTAAAGCTCCAGGTTCATTACTTCCCAAGCCTAGGACAGATTTTGATGCATCTTGGATTGGTAAAAGTAAAGAAGTTGACCGTCTAGTAAATACTCTAATTCCATCAATATCGGTGTTAAAACGAGCATCAGAAGAAAATAAAAAACTAAAAGAATAAAAATTTTAATTGGCTAAAATTTTAATAACTGGTAGATCATTTTTGGTACTATCGCATTATCTCTCACAGGGGACAATGTTTAGTGTCAGTCCTTTTTGGTACCATTCGATAGAGGAGCTTTGACTTCCTATTCCGAAATTATATCCGTTTTTTTGCAAAATGGCTCTGGGCCAAGCTCAAAATTTCAGCTTTTGGGAGGTTTGAGTATACGCAAGACAGGAAAAAGAGTCTCAACTACAGTTGGGACATGATGGGTGAATGCGATAGCACCTCCTTTTGTTTAAATTTTTTAAGCCAAAACCATCACAGGACACCTATATGTGATTTTACCGCCTCACGGCGAGTAAAACGAGGAGGGAACTCAAGACTGCCAAGTTTGCATCATTTGTGCAAATCTGACACCTATTAAATCTAAAACCATTGTTTGTAGTCTAATTAACAAGTTATGGGTAAACAAAAAAGGATTCCCAAAAAGTATACAAAACAGTTTACAAAATAAAACCTGAGCAAGAGTCGAAGACGAAAGTCCAGATTTTAGAAAGAAAGGTCTTGACAATTCACCATGAAAAATTCCAGGACGTAACACAAATTGGCCTCCATTCTTTCCAATGGAAAGAAGATTTTTGGGAAAAAAAGGCCATTTTTGAAACGGCTTTTATAATCAAAAAAAATTTTTTTAATACACAACGCCAAAACAACAAAATTATTTTGCGTAAATTTGACTGAAGAAACGAAAAACTCATTGTCAATAATCCCTTAAAACATTTATTCTTCAGGCTTGAAATAGGTTTTGAATGATTTTTTTAAATATTTTTTTGGCTTATTGAACCCCCTCCCTCTCTGTCACTACACCTTTACTTTGGATAATTTTGAGCGATTCAAGTTTCTTTTAATTTTCAGAATTTTTTAAGAAAAATAATCTCAGGGAATTTAACTTGTTGGACAGTCATTACAAGTTGTATTAAACCAACACGTGTTTTGTTATGCTCTAAGAATAGAAAAATATTTCTAAAAAAATATTTTTCTAAAAAATTATTTTTAATAAAAATTTAAAAAAATTAAAAACAAACTTGAATCACTCGAAATTTGCAAAGCAAATTTGTTGAAAAAAAAAGTAAAGCTTAAAATTTTTGCAATTTTTGCGATTGTGTGTTTTCAGGCCACATCAATTTCAAAATGATTCGAAAACCGTCAGACGTCTGAAACTGACAACCGGGGCTAAAAAACAGTATATCATTTCCATCATTTAAAAATTTTTTTTTAATTTTTAATCCGCATTGTCATCAGAATTGTCGTCGTACTTAATTTTTTTATTTTTTGTTCAATTTTTTCCATTTTTTAGCTCAATAATTTTTAATTAATTATGACTGGTCTTCCTTCAATTCAGTAAGATTTTTTAAAATTATTTTAATAATTTTTATTTAAAGAAATTTATGTCTTTACGACAATTTAAATTTGCCATTATTTCCAAAAAGAAGCGATGAACAAATACTTTTTGCTTGCTGTCCATTTGCTGGACCTATTGGTTTGTAATTTTTTGTTTTTTTAAATCTTTTAAAAGGGTTGTTAACCGTTTATTTAGATTTATTATTTTTGAGTTAATTCACGTTTTTCTACATTTTGAGGAGTTTTTTAAATTAGAAAATTTTCAGAATATTTTTTTTCTTTCGCGGTTTAATTAAAATTAGGGGTCAGGCCCCTTGGCTACCCCTCAAAAAATCCTGGTTACGGTCTTGTTAGGTGTTATTAGCGTTTGATTGATTTTTCCATGGGCGGCTCAAATGGAGTAGAATAAGAGCATTTGTGCCGCCACATTTAAAAATTAACTGGTCTCCAACACGCTATTAAAAATTTTTAAAATTTTAATCTAACAATAAGTTAGTTGTCAGAGAACGTCGAGAGTACTTGTAAATTTAATTATAATTTCCTCTTTTTTATTTTTTGAATTTTCCTGGCATTTTTATCCGCTCTCAAAAATTTTCTTTTTTTCAGCAATTTCAATTCCAAGTAAATCCCCAAATTCGTCAATGATCGGTATTTATATGCAAAATGGTGCACAAATTGCTTCTATAAATGCGAGTAATGCTTTATATCTTTTTTGGACAAAATGTCTCAAATTAATTGTAATAAATAATGTTGGGCGTGTATTGCTTTATGATGCGTTGGGAAAGTTGCTAAAGACTTCGACTATGGGAGAGGTTTTTTAAGTTTATTTTTTTGAGTTAAATTTTTTGTTTACCTGCTTAAGCCCCTCAGATTTTTAATTAATATATGTATATTTTTATTTTTTCCTCGAAAAACTGAAAAAAATTTAAAGGAAAAAAGGGCGAACTGGGCCGACTCTTTTTGCGGACCTAGTTTTTGGACAGCATTTTCTATGTTCTAGGATTGACCGTGTTTAAAAAATATAAAAAAATTTCATATTTTTTCCATATCCACCGACTTTTTTCTTTGAAAATTAATAATGGCCTTGTTCTATTTGTATATTTAAGGTTATCCTTCGAAGTGTTTCCCCCATCAGGGTTCTTGCCATCCTGATTTCCGAAAGTTAGGAATTTATTTTATATGTCGGCAGTGTGAAAAATTAGGTTGGACTGCTGTCTTTTGATCAAGGGCCTCTCCTCTCCAAACTGCGGTTCAATTCGTTCGGCCATCCAAACACCCATCGGCTGCGGCAAATATGCTCGTGTTGTTATTTCCAGCCGCTGCGATTACCTTGTTATTTACTTTTTTCCCCTATCGCAGACTAGATAGTCGCGACAGCAGGATTTATGTCTCCCACGACCCTGACAACTTTTACTCATACCCGCAAAAACTTTTGCCTTGTAAAAAATTTCCAAAACATTTTTCAATAAAATAAATGTCAAAAATAGCTTGCCTTAAATCTCAAATAATTTTTTTATTTTTAAGGAAACTTTGTCTGTTGGTTTATCCGAAGCAAAAATATTTTCATATTCTAACGAGACTGGACTTGTCATCATTAATAAATCTGGACATTTCTTTGTTGTAAATTCTGTCACTACACCTTTACTGTGGAGGATTCTGAGTGATTCAAGTTTTTTTTTAATTTTCAGATTTTTTTTAAGAAAAATAATTTTAGAGAATTTAACATGTTGGACAGTCATTACAAGTTGTATTAAACCAACACGTGTTTTGTTATGCTCTAAAAATAGTTTTTTAATTGGAGAGCAGGAAACGTGTTCCTTTCAACCTTGCGTTAGTTTGCAATTTTTTTGAAACAAAAAATTCTTTCAATGACTGGGAAATTTTTTTCTGAAAAAGAATTAATTTTCTGTCTTTTTTTTTTTGGCTAAAAAAATAAGGACAAATTTTCAGCTTACTTTTAGTTTTTGCTTTATTTTTACAAAATTAATTATTATTTGCCCATCCTTCCAATTTTATTAAATAAAAATTTTTTTTAGAATTTTCCATGGGCTAAAACAGAAGGACAATACATAAAAATGGAATTGGACAATGACCAATGTCAATTATTACTTTTGCACGACTCAAAATTAATGCAATTAATTGACGTTGAGGTTGATGATTTTCAATGTCTTAAACAAATTAATTTGGAATTTAATGGAGAAATTGAACAAATATTTTGGTATATGTTTTTATTTTTTGGGATTTTTCAGGCTCAATCCTTTATTTTTTATTATTTTATCTCATTCCAGATTAGTGCTGACTTTTTAAAACCTTAAATTATTTACATAATGTTTGACTCTGAAACCAGTTTTTTTCGATTTTTTTCATCAAAGATTGAACCAGCTTCTAATAACTTTCTTCCAGGCCCGTAGCCAGGATTTTTTTCGGGGGGGGGGGGGGCAAGGGGGAAAAATTTTTTGCGCCAAATTTTTGGCGCCTTCGGCGCCAAAAATTCACTTTTTCGGCTCCGCAGGCGCCAAAATTTTGATTTTCAGCGCCGCAGGCACAAATTTTTTGAATTTTGGACATCAATAAGCCAGATTTCTTCCTTTTTTTAGCGCCGCAGGCGAAAATTTTTTAAATTTCAGAGGTCGTAGGCCAAAAAATTCACTTTCAAAAAAAAATTTGCCCCAGCCCTTCCCCAAATTTTTTCCTTTTCCCCATTTCGGGGGGGGGGGGGGTTCACGGGCGTGAAAAACCCCTCTTTAATTTATTTTTTAGTTTTTCTAATTTTTTTTTATTTTTAAGGTGTGGAAAATCATCTTTTGCAATTGAACAAAAATTAGAATCTTCAAATAATTTGTCAATTTATTCATTAGAAGGAACTTCTGATTTAAATCAAATAGAAAATATGGAAAATACTTTTAATTCTACGTTTGTTATTTATTTTAATTCAGGGGAAGGTGTGTTTTAGGCAAGAAACATTTTAGAGTTTCCAGTGCCATTGGGCATGTTTACGAGTTCAATTATCCTTTGATTTATATTTTGTTTGGACTAATATTATTTAATTGAACTCATAAACGGCCGCTTATTTTATTTTCTTAGCTAGTTTCAGTGTTTTTATGACTAAACTTTCACATCCAAACCAATTAAAATTTTATTTTTTAGTTTTTCATTTTCTTCTGATGCTCGTTTTAACACTGATATTGATGGAATTAGAGTATTTACTAGACGGTCTACTTCTTTACTTTTACCAATCCAAGATGCTTCAAAATCTGTCCTAGGCTTAGGAAGTAATGAACCTGGAGCTTTACTTTATGGATCTGCTGTGAAGTTGGAACAAAAAAGTCATGCTTCTTATGAGTTTGTTTTTTTTGAGGGATCAGGAAATATTAATGTTGGTAGATGCAGTGGTAGCCATAAGTATGCAATACTTATGGCCACCACTGTAGTAAGGTTTAGAAAATAAGGGGTTATTTAACAAGTGAGTTATCTAAATTTGAGGTTCGGTTGTAAACATTTGTCTCTGACAATTACAACCGTTTTAAAAAATCTTCCCTAACCCATATAAATTTAAAATTTCATTTTTAGATTTATTCGTTCAATAAATCCAGAGGATATGAATATAGCTGTAGATCAATGTTTATCAGTTGCTGCACACAATTTTGATTCAAAATTACAAAAACAACTTTTAAAGGTTTTTAAATTTTTTATTTTTGAATCATCAATAAAGCCTTTAAAAAATGACTTGCTGACTTTTGGAAATATAAAAATTAATTTTTCAAAATTTAAAGGCAGCTTCAATAGGAATGCGTAGATGTCAAAGACCTTATGATGCTGATAAATTTGTTCGTATTTGTCGTCTTCTTCGTGTTTTAAATGCTCTTCGACTTATGGGAATTCCTTTAACATTTACTCAATTAGAAGAACTTTCCCCAGCTTCAATTGTTGATCGTCTAGTTGTTTTGGGACATTGGCCTATGGCTGTAAAGCTTTGCGAATTTTTGGAAATTAATTCAAAAGAAGGTGTTTACAAAGTTATTGCACATTGGTGTTTGGCTATGATGACTACTTTTAAGGAACAAAATAGGTTTGGAAAATATTTTTTGTGAAAAAATATTTGGGCTTTTGTCGAGTCTCATGCTTCCTCATAAGGTTGTTTATTTGAATTTATTTGCTTTTGAAAGACTACCGGGTGATACCAGGCCCAGTGCTTGTTAGGAACACAAAAAGTGCTAAAGAATTTAATCCCAGTTGTGAAAACCAAATAAAATATATGACTTAATCAGACGCTCAATCTGGGCACGAGTCAATTTTTTTTGAATATTAACCTTTGTGTTTTAAAAATTTAAGCGGGATGAATAATCTGTTTCTGAAATTTTTCGTGATGGGTTATTTAATTGTGAACTGGAATTGGCCAATATTCTCTGGCCATTGAGTGGTGAGGGGAGGCGAAGGAGACAGGGCCGTAGCCAAGGTGCCCCCCCCCTCCGAAATGAGGAAAAGGAAAAATTTAGGGAGGGGAATTTTAATCAAAAAATATTTTAAAGCTTTAACTTTTAAGAGATTCTGAAAGTGCCAATGCTCATAAAATTGCAGAACTTGCACAACGTTTAATTTCCCGTTTACGCCAATATCCAGCCATTAGCTATGCGGGTACCTGATTTATTTATTTTTTTAACTATTAATTTAAAGACGTTGCTGAAATGGCATCACGCCAAGGATTGCCATCATTAGCTGAAATTTTACTTGATTTGGAGACAAATGTAAGCAGACAAGTGACTGCAATGCTAAAATTAAAACAACTGGAGAAGGCGTTACAAAAGGCGGGACAAAGTCAGCAACCTGATTTGAGTGAGGTTTTAAATAATAATCCCTATCAAGCGTTCAAAATTTATTTCAATTATAACAAACACTTTTAATTATCATTAAATTATAGTGCATCTTGTTTTGAGGCATTTACGTAGCAATATGAGTGGATTGGAAGTGGAAATGTTGTTAAGTAAAGCCCCACAGGCTCTCAGCATTTATCAGGCATATTACAAATTTTATTTAAAAATCTTAATAATTTCAAAGGGTAAATTCAGTCGGACCTTACCGTGAAATATACCCTCGAGAATGAAATATTATAGATCCTATATAGGAGTTAGGCATCTATCCCCACCCATGTCCAATTAAATTAAAAAATGATCTTCAATTTATCTGTTATACTATATTTAGGTCCAGCTTTAACTCAAAAAATTATTTTTTCTGTAATTTATAATTTAAAATTCCCCTTTTTTTAAGAGCGAGATTCGAGATGAAGCCCCAGACCGTTTATTAGCTTTATACGAACAAAGTGATGATTTTATTCGGCAAGCACTTTTATATCTGAACAAAGCAGAACAGTCTAGTGCCGATGTTTTTGATTCTTCCAAAACAACAGAATTTTTGTTTAAAGCTGAAAAAGCTTTGAAAAATATGAAAGAAACACAAACAGCTCAATTAATTGGTGAAAATGCTCAATTAATTATAGAAAATGTTAAAAGGGAGGAAAAGGTGAGTGTGTGTTGTTAGTTGAAATTTTGATTTGATTGAATTATGACTAGAGGGCAGTGTGACTCTTTTACGACCTTTAGGGAGCTTTTTCCACCTTTTTGCCTTTTTCGCCCTCTTTTTTGGCTTTTTCGTCCCCTTTATTCCCCCTTTTTGAGAAACCATGCACCCTTTTGGTGATTTGGAAAGGTGACCCTGCTAGAGGGAAAGGGAACAAATTTTTAAACCTAAAGGATATATTTTAGAAAGGAGTTTAAATTGTGTTTAGTACATTCAGGAATCTATCCGACTCGATTCCCGACAATCGGAAATTCCCAACGTTTACAGGTCGTGAATCCCGATTCCCTAAAGTCTGAATTTATTCATTATGTTGCCTCGTCCCCTTGTATTTACATAAGTTGCCGTCAGACTTAACAATTTTGACATTTTTTAACATTAATAATTTATAGTTTGGTACTTCATTATCTCATTTATCCGTTCGGGACACTTTTATTTGGGCTGTTGAACACGACGAACTTGCAATAATGGATCAATTAAGAAAACAACACAGACTTGTTGATAAACAGTTTTGTTGTGTTTTTTATTTAAAAAATATTTTTATTTTTTAAAAATAGAGTTTTCCTTTGGACAATTGAAGGATTTGCTCGTGCTGGTAAATGGCAACAATTGGAACAATATGCACGGTCAAGAAAGAGTCCAATAGGATTTTTGGTAGGAATTTTTGGTTTTAAATGTTTCTCGGTCATATCTGTCTCTCTTATGTTGTCTGTTGTCATTTTTCACTCTCGCTTTTTGTCTAACCATTATCCGGAAGAGAGGGCTTCCCGTATTTTACAATAAGGTTTAAAATCAGTGTTGTGTCGTAAGTAATTTTAAATAGCGAAAGACAAAAAGGTCTAAAAAGGTGAACTTCGATCGGAAGGTGAAAAATAAATGGTGGAACTGGCACACTTTTGCTAAAAACTACAGACTAGATCGATACGATATATCGATGAAAATTATTGATATGTCGATATCGATACCGACATTATCAAACGATAAATTTTTTGATTTTTTTTCGATATTTTTTGATAATCGATACCGATTTTTCGAACGACCACTAAAGTCCGTCTCTACTAAAAACCCATGCTTTACCGTTAAGTTTGTTGGCAAAACGTGGGTTTACCTATATCCTTGTTGGTAGGGGGACATGGATTGTAATTTTTAAAATAATACCAATTAATTGGTCAATTAAAATATTTAATATTTAGTCAATTATTGAATTGTGTACAAAATATGGAGACAAAAATTTAGCAACGCGTTTTATGGATAAACTAACTGGTTATGAGGAACAAGTTCGCGCCTATTTAATTATGAAGTGAGTTTATAATTAGGGTTGTTGGCGGTCGGTTAACCGAACCGAAACCGGAACCGAAAACCGGTGTTTTTGGCCAATAAACCGAAACCGAAAACCGGGGGTCGAAAACCGGCGATAACCGAAAACCGGTGACATAAACCGACCGGTTTCGGTTTATAAAATACACCCCTAAAGATGGAATTTTTGGGAATTTTTTGGCCATTTGAATTCCCAAAATACACTTCGCCAAAATAATTTTCCTAATTTCTCCTTCAATAAATAAGTTTTTTCACTGATGTGCATAACATTGTGTTTGGTTGAGTGGTTACTTGATGGGGTCACTTAATTTGTTTCTTGTATTGGACTGGGTTCGAGTCCAAAGTTGGAAAGTTGACTTTTTTTGTTAATTCCAAAAACTAATAAACTTAAACTTGAGCTTTTATTTCATACTCGAAATTTATTTTCAATATTTAAAAAAGTGAAAAAACAAGTCAAAATTTTCAGTGGAGTCCTATAATTCTCAAAATTTTCGCCTGCGGCGCAGAAATTAAGAAATCTGGCTCCTTTGCCTTTGAAATTTCGAAAAATTATCGCCTGCGGCGCAGAAAAAAATAGGGCATTTTGGGGGGGGGGGGGAATAGCAGAAGATTAGGAGGATAACCCTAAAATTGGACGAATTTTGGCTTCTTGGCCTTTCAAATTTCTCAAAATTTTTGCCTGCGGCGCTGAAAAAGAAATATTAGGATTTGCAAGGATTAAGGTGGATTTGGGGCTATCCAAAGAGTAGGAGATACAGACCCGAGAAAATTTAAAAAATTATAAGGAGTTGGATCGAAGATATCAAAGGGTTTGCAAGGATATCAGAAAAAGTTAAGCCTGTGTGACCACTTTTTTCTTATTTTTCTTACATCCCAAAACTATTTGCCGTAGGAGCCGGATCTAATAAATGGCCAATACCCACACTGTATTTTCACTTGAGGCTCTAAATAACAAAATTTTCGTTGGCTGATCTGTAGAATATTACAATGAGCATAATAATCGGATAAAATATGAATTGAATATGTTGTATGGCAAAATTTAGGCATAAACCGGTTTCGGTTTACCAAAAACCGGGGGTCAATCGAAAACCGAAACCGAAAACCGGGGGTCGTAAACCGGCCAAAACCGAAAACCGAGGGTACCGGTTTTTAACCGGTCGCCAACAACCCTATTTATAATCAAGAAATTTTAAAAATAAAATTTTTTAAAGTGAAATAAAAAAAGCGGCAACATTAGCAGCAGAGAAAGTTGACTTAACAATGCTACAATTAATTAGAAGGAGGGTCCCTCCATCATCGCAACAGTGGACAGAAGTTACAAAAATTATTGAAAATTTGGGTAGAACTAAATAAATTATTTTTTTATATTTTTAATCAAAATATTTTATATTTTCCGAAAAGAATTTTATAAAAAATAAATAAAAGAAAAAAAAATATAAACAAAATTAATTATTAAAGATTAAGAAATTTTAAACGTTTTTTAAATAAAAAATCGTAAAGGTCTTTTAGGCTCGAGAAGCAAAAATTGGATTTTATTGTCCAAGCAAAATGTATAGTTTTTTTTGTAAAAATTAGCGTGTCATTCTCTATTTAAAATTAACATCGGAATTCGAATCAAGCCAAGTTCTAAGCAAATTAGATTTTTTTACTCAATGTATCAAAATTAATTAACAAAATTCTCTTAAACTCTCAAAATCCCAATATTTCTAGAACATCTAATTTTAGAAAAATTTTTCATTCAATTTGACATGGGAAATATGAGAAACACCAAAAATTGTTTGCTCTTATAATTTCATAACGGTCTTTAGTAAACTTGTCTGACATTAATTTACAGCCCAGGAAGGTTATAAATAGAGTTGAAGTCTTGTCTATTTCGACTTGTAATTTTTTTTGTCTGTCTGTCGAATAATCCAGCTTATTTAAAAATTTTTAGCTTTATAGTTTATCAAACAAATTAATTTATATATTTGGTAGGTAATAGTCAATTTAGGTGTTATCTTGTCGGTAATTTAAAATTCGACTATGACAATAATAAACAAAATATGCATAACAGAAATTATTAATTTATCGAATTATAGAAGAGTTTTGAATTAACACTTTTTATGAAATAAAAAGGAAAAGAACCCTTTTTTAAATTTATTTTTTATCCTTCCATAATCCCGTTCGATTCAGCTCGTCATTAACCAATTTAGCCTTCTGTTATTAAAATAAAATAATTATTGTAAAAGTGTAAATTTATTGTAAAAATATACCTCCTTCGTTTGGTCCGGATCGTGGAATCGGTCGTCCACCTTCCACAGAAAGTAACAAAACCATAATAGCGAACACCATTAAAGGCATTAAAAAGCTAATGGAATGTTTAATTTGTTGGATCATTTTTGAGGATATTTTAATAATTTTTTAAATTAATTTTTAATGTTTAATTGAAATATTAATTGATTTGAAGGCTGTTAAATACGCAAAGATTTAATTTAAAATTTATTTATTTAGGTGTTGAAAGGGAAGAGAAAATTAATTTAAAAAATTTTTTTAAATTAAAAAATTTTTAAAATGAAAAAAATTTTAAAATAAAGGATTATTATTTAATATTTAATCAATTTTATACAAACGAGCTCGATATAGCGGAATTGAAAGGGAAAAAAATTTTTTTTTAAAGGAAACCTTTAGTAGGGGACCGGTGGAGGGAGGATTGAATTTCCATAAGTAGGTACCATATATGCTTAAATAATTACCCAGGGAAATTATTAAGTAAACTTGGCTAGAAGGGGTAATAAACGAGATGGGGAATTAATTATTTGAGAGAGGGTCTGATACATTGAGATTAATTTATTAAATATTGAATTCATTAGTTGAATTCAAATTCTTCATTGGAAAAAGCTTAATCTTAAGAATTCTTCTTCGAGAGGGGATGACTTTAACGTTTTACTTTTAATTTTTCTCGTCTTTCTCGAGTCTTCTGATCGTTGAATCCTTCATTGAAAAATTCTTCATTGTCGTACCAGCTCATCTCTAGCTCTCATATGTCTCATGTCATGAGGAGAGACGAAATCGCGTCTCATCGCTATCATGGGGATTGTGTTTATTTAGCTTTTAAAGCTAAAAATAATTTTTAAAAAATTATTTTCAATTATATACGTCTAATAATCAATTAAAATATTAATTTGATATAATCGGAATAAAAAATTAAAATAAATTTTTTAATCCAAAATTTTATTCAAACTAAAAACTACAATTAAATAAAAGTTATTATGGATAAACTACACAACATTCGATTATTTCTTTTTTAATAGATATCAACACATGGATTGGGGTATCCTCCAGTACATTTTTGGTTATATTTACAATCTTCACATCTCATGTAATTGCAGCATCCTTAAAGAAAAAGGAAACTGTGTATTGCTAAATAATTTAAGCAAATTTACGTTTCTGTGGAGTGGTTTTACATGATGTAATTGGTGTCGTTGCTCCAGATGAGGTTGACGAGCTAGGGGTTGCTGTCGTTTCTGTTGATGCTGGGGTTGCTGTTGGTGAGCCAGTTGGGCCTCCAGATGAGGTTGACGAACCAGATGATGATTCAGTTGCTGTTGGTGCTCCGCTCACTCCTCCAGGAGAGGTTGAGCCAGCTTCGGCAGATGTAGACGAACCAGGAGATGCAGAGGATGATTCAGTTGCTGGTGGGGTTGCTGTTGGTGCTCCGCTCACTCCTCCAGGAGAGGTTGAGCCAGCTTCGGCAGATGTAGACGAACCAGGAGATGCAGAGGATGATTCAGTTGCTGGTGGGGTTGCTGTTGGTGCTCCGCTCACTCCTCCAGGAGAGGTTAAGCCAGCTTCGGCAGATGTAGACGAACCAGGAGATGCAGAGGATGATTCAGTTGCTGGTGGGGTTGCTGTTGGTGCTCCGCTCACTCCTCCAGGAGAGGTTGAGCCAGCTTCGGCAGAGGTAGATGAACCAGGAGATGCAGAGGATGATTCAGCTGCTGGTGGGGTTACTGTTGGTGCTCCACTCACTCCTCCAGGAGAGGTTGAGCCAGCTTCGGTAGATGAACCAGGAGATGCAGAGGATGATTCAGCTGCTGGTGGGGTTACTGTTGGTGCTCCACTCACTCCTCCAGGAGAGGTTGAGCCAGCTTCGGCAGAGGTAGATGAACCAGGAGATGCAGAGGATGATTCAGCTGCTGGTGGGGTTGCTGTTGGTGCTCCACTCACTCCTCCAGGAGAAGTTGAGCCAGCTTCGGTAGATGAACCAGGAGATGCAGAGGATGATTCAGCTGCTGGTGGGGTCGCCGTTGGTGATCCGCTCACTCCTCCAGGAGAGGTTGAGCTAGCTTCAGCTGGAGTAGACGAACCAGCAGATGCTGTTGATGATTCAGTTGCTGGTGGGGTTGCTGTTGGTGATCCGCTCACTCCTCCAGGAGAGGTTGAGCCAGCTTCGGCAGATGTAGACGGGCCAGTTGTTGTTGTTCCTGTCGGTCCAACCGTTGTCGTTTGAGCAGATGAAGTCACTCCTGTTGTCGTTCCACATTGACAGTAGCAGACAGGTGGGGTTGTCGGCGGTTCGCACGTTTGCCCGGCAATTGAATTTATTAATGAGAAAAGAGCTGGGAGAAGAATTATTGCTTTCATCTTACTCTTATTCAACACGGTTTTTTGATGTTGTGAAGTTAAATAATATGCTTCTTTCGTTTTTTGCCGTTCATTTTATATTCATGTTTTTCATAATCCTTTGATCTATCGCCTTTTTTAATTTTCGTTTAACTATTAAAATATGCTTGCTGTAAATTTATGTGGCATTTTTATTTTAGTTTTTCTCCTTTCCATACAAATTTTTTATTAAATTTTTTTCTTTTTTTTTCAATTCCATCTTTAAATCTTTAACCTTTTTTCGTTCAATTTTTTACTTTATTGCTTTTTATTTTCATGCTATATTTATTTTAAAAAGTGTAAAAGTTATTAATATGTGGATACACGATTTTTTTACATAATTTGTGTTAGCAAAATATTCTTTAATATTTTTTTTATTTTTTGCATTTACCTTAGAATGGGATTTTTTTGCTTTTAGTTAAACAAATTTTTAATAGTTAAAGTAAAATTTCTTAAATTTAATTACCGTAAATGCTCTAATAGATCCTTATTGGTATTACTAACTACTTTAATAATTAAATGCATTTCAATCAAGAAATCATATGACAACCTCGAGGTGGACAAAATTAAATAACGTACAACGAAGGCATCTAGAAGGCTTTAGAGAACTATCTGTTTATGTAACTTAAATTAATAATTTAAGTTACACAAAGTCATGTAACTTAAATTAATATTCGATAATAATGAAAACTGATTGAGATTCTCGATAATACAATTTTAAATTAAAAAAAATTTTGGAAAAAAATAAAAAATTTTAAATTAGAAGCAAATATACTAAATTAGAAAAATATTTGAAATTCTACATATGTTTGTAATACTTTCCCTTTAGCTTAGTAATGGATATGGATACAGATGAGTTCAAAGTGCCTGCGGATATCCGTCTGTATCCGCCGTAAATATCTGGACACGGATACCAAAATCCATGTCCATTACCAAGTCTGGTTTCCCTTTTAGTTTTTCTCATATTTCTTTCATACCGTCCGTTATTTTTACATGTTTAAAGTTTATGGAATTCTACACCAAATGTGAGTAAATTATAAAGATTTACCGGACATCATGGGTTTCTCATACCAGTTAAATGAGAAATAACTGAAACCATTCTAACTGGATTCTTCTCTCATTCAATAAAGTTTTAATCTGGATTAGCTTTTAAATATTTTTTAGAGATATTGAGTAAATTGATTCGTGTACTTGCATATTGCAAATCAACAGATTTTTTTTGAAAATGGAGGAGGCAGAGTTTTCAAATGAGCATGAAGATATCGCACTAACAATATTTACTGATTACAAAAATATACATACAATTTTTGATATAAATTTACTAAAAATTAAATAATAAGAAATTGAAAGAATTAAAATTTCAAATCGAAATGAAATTTAAAATCTGTTAAAGTCATACTAGGATATGGATACAGATATTATAAAAATGCCTGCGGATATCCGTCTGTATCCGCCGTAAATATCAGGATACGGATACCAAAATCAGTATCCGTGTCCTAGTCTGGTTAAAGTAATAAAATACAGGGTGCGGCAAATTTAGCGCCGACTTTGTTTTGGCTATAACTTTTTTAATTTTAATCGAAAATTGATAATTCTTTTTTTGTTTTACACCTAACACTTTAGGAAATCTATTGGTACCAAATAATAAACATTTTGTTTGCGGATATCAATGAAAAACGAGTCCGAACATAAAAACGGGTAAAAATGGATTTTTCATGTCAAAGTTTAAGTGATCATAACTTTGTTCAAAATCATCCAATCCGAATAATTTTGGTACCAATCGACTTATCTCGTTCAGGCGTATCGAAATAGCTAATAATCTCATTTTTGAAAATTTCACACAAAAAATTCGTATTTGCCAAAATTTGTTTAATTTATCATTCAGTGAGCCATATCTCGGTCCATTTATGTGATAGACGCCTGATTTTGACGTCATTCGAATCAGATTGGAGAGCTGATTCGAATGATATGTAAACTTCATAAATTAAAATAATAGCCTTGAATCCAGGCCATATTTTATCCAAAAATTTTTGCTCGAAATTTGATAGAAAATTAATCAAACTTAATTATAAAATTTAAAAACGATTTTGGTATCAACAATTTTCCTAAAGTGTTGGGAATCCAGGAAAAAAAGAATTATCAATTTTCGTTTAAAATTAAAAAAGTTATAGCCAAAACAAAGTCGGCGCTAAATTTGCCGCACCCTGTAAATTTATTTTTTAATAAACTTTAAGGATACTATATTTATTTACAAATTGAATAAATTAATTTTTATGATTTATCAGGCTTAACTTTTACAAATAAATTTTGGTTTAAAAATTAGTCACAAATGTAAATATTTTGAATAAATAAATATAAATATTTCAAAACAAAATACAAAAACTAAATTCTTAAAATTCTGTTTAGAGGGAATAAAAATGTATAGAATTTGTTTGTTGTTATTTGTTAGACACGTAAATTGATTGTTATTTCTTTTAAGTTGATCATATATAAATTGAGATTAGATAGGTCATTTAATCAGTATCTTTAAAATAATCTGTATCGATAAAATTTAAAATAATTTAAGCTAAATCATCAATAATATAGAGTTAAGACTGTATTATTCATGATCTTTTTGGCACCGCGCATTTACTATGTAGAAATTTTCAAGTTAATTTAAGATAGAGCTCTAGAAATAAACATTTATCCCCTCAAAAATAAATGTCTTCCTTCTAAGTCTTCAAGATTCTTGCCCTCTAGGGGCCTCCGAGACTGCCCAGACTTGGTAATGGACATGGATTTTGGCGGATACAGACGGATTTCCTTAGTCAATTTAAGCATCTGTATTCATATCTGTACCCATTACCAAGCCTTCTGCTGCCCTCAATCTATTTAATCTAACATTTCTAAGACTCATTATCTCATTTGTTATTTTTCTTCTTTATTTCATCAGCAATGGAATGAATTATGAATTATTTTTTAAAATTTTTTTAGCCTATTTTCCGATTATTAACGATTTTAGTAAAAGTATTGGTTAAATTGAATTATAAAAATTTTAAATAATTAAAAAGTGCAGTCTGTGATAGTCAAATATTTAAAATTTTGTTTTTATTTTTAAATATATCCAAGTATATAATAAATATTTTGTTTTTAATTATGCACTTTTTCCCATTAAAAATTAAATGAAAAGTTACATTTGAACAAATATTTTTTTATAAAATTCCAAATTGTTTACCAGACAAACTTTTTTAAATCAACACATAATACTGAGTATAAAAGTTGGAACTAAATCCTCTTAAATCATCCATTAATCAAAAATTATTAGTAAAAATATTCAAATAACTTCCTCTATACAGTTTACCCAGAAATTTACATTTATTTATTCTCTTAAGCTTAGGTTAGTAAATATGGGGGGGGGGGATATTAGTAATACGGGGGGAGTATCAAAGGGAGTATTTTAAGGAAGAATCATCATAATTTTTTGGGTTTAAATTTTTAAAGAAATCTGTAAAATTTTATCAAAAAATCTCAAATTTTCGGATCATGAGTTACCGACATTGCATTTTTTTCTAGTTTTTCAGAGTTTTCTAGGTTTAATATATCGTATTAACCGAAAGTACTTAATTTATTTAAAAATTAGAAATTTTTAGATCTAGAAAAGTTTTATATTCAATCAAAATTTTGGATAGAATTCTTAGGAACACATTTTTATCTGTAGTTTACTAAATTAAAATTACCTAATTTTGATATCTAATTATAGAAATCTTTTTAAAAAATAAAATTGAATTAAAATGACTATGATTAGGTCATCAACAATATTTGTAATTATTTTGAGTTACATTGTTTCAGTTAAAGGTTTGCTGTATTTAAGAGTTATTAAACAAATGCTCCTTACATACACGCAAAATACAACCCTTTTTGGAACGCTTTCCCATTTCTAGGTGATACCTCAACCCAAAAATGTTAAGCACTCTCTTGAACATCTCCGAATCATCAATCACCCAATCAGATATTGAGAACTTTAAATTTAAAAAGAGTTAAGTATAATTAAAATACAGGGAACAAAATTTAAGGTGATCCAAAGCTTACAGTCATCAACAATTGTCCTTATCCAATTTGGCCAGCTTACCAAGTTGGAGCCGGACAGACTGTACCCAAAAATGGAGGAAGTGGAGCTTTAAATAAGGGACAAAGTGTTTCATTCACGGTTAATCCAAAATTGTCAGCATTGAGAATTTGGGCACGGACAGGGTGTAATAAAGATGCAACTAGTTGTACAACTGGAATTTGCAGAGGAGTTTGTGATTTACTTAAAAAAATATAAATTATGAGTTTTAATAGCTTTAAGTAGTGAATATGGGTGAGGGCTAACTCGAGGAATGCCAACTCAAGGACCATACCAACTCAAGGAACAGACTTGTCTTTTCGTTGACTTGTCATTCCTTGATTTGTCGTCAAGGAACGACAACCGATCATAAACCGATCATACATAATTACGTTAGTCACTGTATTATATTACCACAAAAATACAACAAATTATACCTAAAATTTTAATAGCCTCAATAATTAAAATCTTTAGCGTGGTATTGAATGTAAAGGCACCGGAGGGGAACCACCAATGTCATTGGCAGAATTCACTTTTGGTACTAATGCCGGGGATTTCTACGATGTTAGCTTAGTTGATGGTTTCAATATACCTGTGGAAATTGTGCCAATTGGAGGAAATGGACCAAAATGTAAAAAGATCAATGCGTGTGATCTTAGAAAAGTTGCTTCTAAATTGCCATCACAAATGATCAAGAAGGATAATAGAGGGGTAAGACAAGGATATTAAAGAATCCTACATTCCGACCGATTAAAGAGTAAGCAAAATTATTACCTCGACATCTCAATCAGTAGAGATCTGTATGTGCTAGGGGAAGATCCCAGTTATAGTTTATTGGCTCATTCAGAATAGAATAGTTTAGTAATAATGAATTCCTCAATAAGGATAACTTTTCCTTAATTTTTTAGGATTAAGGAAAAGTATCATCGGATTGAGAGTGATTAAAGGGAATATGGAAGGATCATTAGACCACAAACCATGTTCTTGGAGGGATTAAGGGGGATATGGAGGGATTAGTAGCCACTAACCATGTTCTTGGGCAACCAAGTGCTAAATTTTGTTTCTCTTACGTTGGCTTATTAATTTATATCCTTCGATTAATTAATATTTAATTTTATTCTATATGTAGACAATAATTGGAATCCTCAGCCCTTGTGCAGCTTTTAAAGATCCAAAATATTGTTGTACCCAACAATGGAATAAACCCGAAACTTGCCATCCAGTCTTTAACAATTATGATGTTTATAAAACAGAAAATAAAGAATGTCCTCAACAATATCTTTACCCATATGATGATGATAAAGCAACATTTGTTTGTACTAATGGAGGGAAAGTTAATTATAATATTAAATTTTGTCCTTAAACTTTAAAAGAGAATTAGAGGATGAAAATATAGATAGTAAATAGATATTTAATTTGTTAATTATACTTTATTTAAATGTAAGGAATAAAACTAATTAAAAAAATAAATTAATTACAATTTTCTCTCTAAATTTATCCTAAAATTCAAAATTTAAATCGTAACTCAATTGGAATAAGAAAATTCATATTTAATATGTATTTATTTTTTGAATAATATGAAAAATGTGGATTAAATGAAGGAGGAATTGGAATTTTACCCAACGATATTAAAGAGCCTTTAATTTTCTTAATTTTAATAAAGAAATGGAAAGAATTCAAAACAATCAGTATTATTCAAGCAGAACTATAAATCTCTAATTATAAAATTTGACCATAAAAATATATTTATTAAAAAAATATTTTTTAAATTAATTAATTAATTTTCAAAATCATTATTAATATTTCTTTGTCTCAAACGGCGTTTCTCTCTTATTTCATATTTACGTTCTCTCATAGCAAAGAATGAACTTGCTGCATATAAGGCGAACAAAACAAAGCAAAAAAACTTTAAAAAAAATTAAATTAATTATTTAAATTATGAAAAAGTTTGTTTTATAAGTAGAGTGATTAGGCAAATGTCTTTATTCTTTTTGTGAATTTTAGTTAATGTAAACATTTTATTTTTAGACTTTATCGGGGTTTTTGGAAAAAAGTCTGGATTTTTTCTGTACCCAAGAGGTCCAGGCCTATTTCTTGACTTTCCTGGGTTTTTCCTCGGCCTGGGTTTTTTCTGGACTATAAGCCCAGGATCCGGCCAAAGTCAATAAATCAAACCCAGAGTCCAGGAACTGGCCCAGGCTTTTCAAAAATATCTTTTACTCTGTGAAATAAAGTGAATTTTTGCGAAATGAGTTTATGTCTCGAATTATTTGTTGCCTATTTTTTTGTCTTTGGTGTGGTTTGATAATTTTAAACATTGGCTTTGGCATGCTATGTGAAAATCCTGTTTTCCCCCATATGTTTGAAAAATTTTATAAATTTTAACTCTTTAGATTTCTATTGAAAAACTGAGCGAAGGTTTGAAAGAATTCTATAAATTTAGAGGCCCAACAACGATACTGATCTCAGAGATCCGTATTCAAACGATACGGATCTCTAAAATATGGGAATTAAAGTTGTGTGATAAAAAAATTTGTAAAAAATCCCCCTTCCATTTTTTACCGCTGCAAATGCCCATTCAATAATTAGGCGACATCCATTGTGAATAATTCCATCCCCTCCAATATCGTTACAATTATTAGCCCAGCCCCCTGTTGAATAATATGCTTCTAAACATGAAAAAATTAAAAAGAAAATTGAAGCAATTCCTGACAATAATATATCCTAAAAAATTATTTTCCTGAGAAATTTTCTATTAAATTAATTTACAGATTCAGTCCACGGCCAAAAATTTAAATATGTTCGAGGTAGATTGAAAAAATAAGCCAAAAGAATTAAAAATGTTAAACAAAGCGCAAATCCCGTAAATAACATTATTAATGTCTGTCCAAAAAGTATACCCTTAAAGGGGCCTGGGCCATAAACTATTGTAAGTAGGCAAACGACAATTAGGCAAATAATCTGTTAAATAAGGAGTAGATTAAATTTATAAATTTATTTTAAGGTTTGAACATAGGGTTGGCTTTGAAGATTCTCTTTATCTTATCGGAAACAAAAAAAACTCTGGATATCAGGAAATTTCGGGTCGGATATCGGATCTGTCCCAGGAGCCTCCAACCTTATTTGAAAGAAATAATGCATTGATATATGTCTGAAGAGTGTTAAAACAGATTAAAAAGGAAAAATCAACGAAAACAAAATGGTTCACTCCTGATATAATCGGGATCAGTTGGCAATTTTGTCAAGTGCGTTAGGCCTATACATTCAGAACGTTGTAAAAATTTGGCTTTTAGAAACCCTCAAATTTAAGACATTCCTAATTTCTAAATACACTTTTTCAGCCCCAAGGTATATACCGTATTAACTCTAATTGAATGCCCGTGCATTCAATTTTTCAATCACCTTTCAAATGGGCATTCTATTAGGTCGGGTCATAATTAGTGTCGCTTTTTTTCGGTTAAATTTTTAGGGGTGTTATTTTACAAATATTATTTTTTCTTACTAACCAACATAAAGATCTGAATCTACTCTTCATTTTAAAACCAGGTTTAGGTATATATCTGTGATTTTCATAAAGTTATGATTTTTTTAACTTCACTACCTCGTAGTGAAATTCTCAAGCATTTGCACCATGAATTATAAATTACCAAAAATGGAACATGAGAAACAAAAAATCTTAATGATCTAGTCAATGGGATCGTTGTCTATGCTAGACAGCAAAGAATAGGATTCAAACTTTACTAGGAAGGCCGTATGACTCTCATAAGCAAACATGGTCGAGGGAAAAGGCTGTCATTAAGAAAACGGTCCTGCTCGGCCGGCTTAGATGGAATCCGGTAATTTCTACTGCTGAATTATCGAGGGATATCCACTCTATACGTATGGCCACGGGTGACTGAAAAAACGCGGGCTGCGCTTAAGGAGATCAAATCAAATGCCGTGTGCACTAACATTTCAAAAATGAAACAAACGACACGACATCCCCCCAAAAAACGTTTTCTTATATCTCAGCGTAAAATCATCCGATCAGGATGATCTAAAAAATTTTTTAAATCTCATAGAGGTCTTATACTAAATCCGAAATATAAAGTCTGTAAATCGTGCCGAACCCCGGAATTCGAAATTCGACTTTTTCGAAAATTTAGACCTTTCTTAATAAAAATTCGAAATTGTGGCCAACATTTAGAACTTTTGAAGAGCTTTCGAATGATATATCACACTAACTATTATCATTACGTATACTTGAGAAAATTTGATTCCCGATGATTTCGGGAATTTTGATATTTTCGACCAGAACTCCCTGAATACCTAACAAAAAATTCTGAAATACTGAGATCCTTTAGAACATAGTCTAACAAATGATTCGAAATAAAAATAAAAAAATTTTTCTGAAAACTTAATTTAAAAACTCCAAAAAATCCAAATTAAAAAAGCGACACTAATTATGACCCGACCTAATATTAGAGGGGGCATTCAATTGGAGGGGGCATTCTATTTTCAAATCATGCCTGCGGGGCATCCTATTAGAGGGGGGCATTCAATTGGAGGGGGCATTCTATTTTCAAATCATGCCTGCGGGGCATCCTATTAGAGGGGGGCATTCTATCATGGGGCATTCTATTATTCAAATAGAGGTAATACGGTATTAAAACCAAGGTTCGCCTTTATTCATTCAATCAACATTTATGGTGTTTCAATTTTAAAAACCCACAATTTCTATAATTCTCAATACTCCAGCTGGTTCAATACAATATTTAGTATTAAGTCTGTCCGATTCGTATTTATCATATTCATTATAAGAAATACTAGATCTTCGTCTTGTGTTATCCCCATTTCTTGAATAAATTCTTGGAGGTATTTCTCTACTGTAATATTTTGTTTCGATTGTTGTTGCCGTGACATTTGGATCCTGACGGGGATAAAAATGTTTTTGTGGTCGTTCCTGATGTTCTTCATGAAATTCAAATTGATAACGATTACTCGATTCCATTAAAAAAATTACTGTATTTTTCCTACAGAAATGAGGAATAAATTTAAGGTTATTCTACGAGTATTATAATATGTTTTCTTCAAGTCTATAAATAATTACTTTAGATTTTTTGAGTGTAAAAACTAGAGACCGGACTGGGAAGATCATACGAGATCAGTATCGATATTTCGAAAAATATCAATCTCGGAACCCGAAACTTTCGTTAGAGATCTCGTTTCGGTCCTATCTTTAATAAAAACTTGGATTGGACACGACCGGTTTTAAAACCTGTAAATTTTTTTGTCATAAATTAACCGTTTCTATGAACTTTTAAAAATTGAAGACTGGAAATCCATGAAAATCAGTACACTTTTAAAAATTCCTACAAAATAAAACCAGTATTTGACTGAAACTTCAAACCGAAAACCGGATTGTTAAAATTTCGATTAAACGAAAACCGAAAGTATCGGTTAATAATCGGTTGTGTTCAGGTAAAAACCTTAGAATAAGTAAAACTTCTAAACCTTAAAATGGGAAAGTTGGGAAGTTTTATGGAAGTTTTATTTAACTTTCGACCGATATATCGAATGATAGCCTGTTTATAGAAGAAGAATTAAAAACAAATAAAATTTTAATATTTAATAAATAAATAATCAAAAAAAATACAATATATGTAGCTAAAAAATATTATTAAATTAATAAAAGACACATGTATTAAAAAATAAAGTTTTTCTAACAAAAATTCGTTAATCTATTTTTATGTTGTAAATGTGTCGCCATCAAGTTTTTGCGCCTTTTAAGGCTTGTACAAAAGCAATTAAATAACGAAAAAAAGAGAAATAAAATGAAAAATAAGAAAATTAAATGATCAATAAATAATATTATTTTTAAAATTATTTTGGAGAATTTTTAAATTATAATTATTTGGATTGAAAATTCGCATAACTTAATGAATAATCAAAAAAATAGTTAAAAATATCGTTGATTCGAACCAGAGATGGGCGAAAATTTTCGTTTCGTTTTTCGTGATTTTCGTTTCGTTTTTCGTGATTTTCGTTTCGCTTTCGTTTGGAAATTTGTTTTTCCTTCGTTTCGTGTTTCGTTGAAAAATTATTTTCGTTTCGTTTTCGTTTCGTTTTCGTCGCATAACCACCATTCGCATAACGTTTTCTTCCAACAGTTTTTTCAAGGTTTCTCAATTTCGGAAGACTAGCCTTGCATTAAATAATTGTTAGTTTTCATAGTTAGTAAAAAATATAAACCTTAACTTTATCGCTGATTCCCGCTAATTGCGAATTTACAACTGCCCTAGGTGAAAGTGTGGAGTTAATAGCAGCTTTATTGATATTGTCTTTAATTCTAGCCAATTCAATTCGAGTTGGTGATGGCCCGTGATTGTGTTGCTGCCCAATAGTGACAGTGTTGTTGTTGTCAGTTGTAGCAGTTCCATGACATTTATCGCTTCTCCAAAGCTCGCATCTCCAGTGACGTTTATTTTCTTTTCCATCTTTATACTTTGTGTAAATGTATTCTCCGTAAATTAATTTTTCGCGACCCTTATTTGACTTTATAAATGATGCCATTTAAATAGCTTAGAAAAATAAAAAAATCTGAAAAAATTTAGTGTTAATTATATGCGACATTTTGGGTCAGTGATATTTTGGGTGGTGATATTTAGGGTGTCGATATTCTGGGGCGATCCTAAACGTATGTATCAGGGGTGGGCCGTGTCCCAAAAATACGAGACACGAGATTCTCAAAAAAATACGAGAACGAGATTCACGAGATGCGTGATCTCTCAAAAAATACGAGATGTTAAGGGTTTAAATGTATAATGATTACATGAGGATTATGAAGGATACTGGGGATTTTGTGGATCAAGGGAATTTATTGAGATATCGGGGATTACGGAGAATATCATGGGATCTGGAAGGATCAAGGAGAGTTAAAGAAACAGATACCATGGGAATATTGAGTTGTCAACTGATTTTAGTGATTCCGGAGGATAGAGGGATATTAATGGATTTGAAGGAATGCCGGGAGCATCTTGGGATTGTAGGGATACCGGGAGATATGGACACCCGATAAGGATACCAAGTTTTTCTGAGCCACTCCATGATGAAAATTTGGTATAAGTAAGTATAAGTTTCTGACAGTATTTCTAAAATAGATTGAAAATATCTCGTGTCTCGTGGCAAAATACGTGATGCGAGACACGAGACTAAACCCACCCCTGGTGTGTATATGTGGACAATTAAAAATATTTTTTCATTATACATAACAGTTAAAAATATTGTTTAACAAAGTGTTAAAAAATGTTTGAATATTGTTGTCCTCCTTTATTTCGAGCTAATAAAATCATCCAACACGAAAAATCTTTTTTTAAATTAGGGAAATATATTTAAAATTATGTGGCTATTGTTGGAGACAATAAAAATAATTTTTTTGTAAAAATAAAAGAAATAAATTTTCAAGGGAATGATGATATTTTACAAAAATTCCACGTAATTTTGAATTATTACGTGGATAACAAAGAATGAAACAATTATTTAATAAACTTAATTTTAAACAAATAAGGAAAGATAATAAATCAGCAATTTTAAATACTTCAGACATTTCCTAAACATTTCCTTGTTAATAAAATATATTTTAATTTAAATTTTAAAAATTTATTAAAATAAAAATCTAAACATTTTCCCGTCTAAAATTAATTTTTAAAATATTAAATGCTCCTCAAAAGACTAAGCATAACTTAAGTATCGTTAAGGATCAATTTATATTGGGTTTAAAAAAACGAACAGGGTTAGGATCTAAACCAGGGCTGGGCTTATTTCGCACTTTCGCGTTTCGCATCTTTCGCATTACCGTATTTTCTGGCGCGAAAAGTTTTGCATTTCGCTTTTTATTTTTAGATTTCGCCCAGCCCTGATCTAAACCCAATCTACCTCAACGCCATAATTACGGGTAATAATTCATAAAAGATTTTGGCAATGATTAAAATATCGTGAAAATATATATATGTTTGATCATTATATTGAACTTATACTTATATTAATTATTAAATATAGATTTATAAATGAAAATAACGACTAGCCTATTTTTTGTCTTAATTTTCCTAATTATTACATCTTTATCTTCGTTAACTTCCGCACAACTTATTGGAGGTCTACTTGAATTTCTTCTTAGAATACTGTTTGGGAATCGTTTACCTCAACCGCAAATAAAGGAAGTTGTAGAAATAGTAACCCAAATAAAAAGTAGATACAAAATTGAATTGAGTGTCCAAGAAATTACAGCAAAAATAGAAGAATTGGAAAAATTTAAAAGGGATATTGAAGGAAGTAAAGAAGTTGGCTTTACATTAAACCATTTTTTGCCCATAGAAGAGCAAATGTTGCTTCTTGGAGGTGGAATATCAGATAGTGATATTCCGGATACTGACGTCAATGGGGAAGGGGTTCCTGGTGGAGAGTCTCCTCCAGATCCTCCAGAAAAAAGCAACAAAAAGGATGAACATCCAAGAGCAAAAAGAGCAACTTGCGTTCAGAAAAATGTGTTTAGTTGTAGTGAAAAGTGGTCCGGTTGCGCTCCAATTATTAACCGAGTTCATCATCAAGGTCGATGTGCCAGCTGCTGGGCTATAGTCCCTTCTACTGTCTATACAGATCGTGTTTGTATTGCAAGGGCAAAATTGAAACAATCTACACCCAATAATGGCAGCTATGTATTTTCGGCGCTTGATATTCTTTCTTGTTCCGATGCTGGTGATTGTGCTTCAGGCTCTGCTTATAAAGTTTGGCTATGGTTGAAAAGTAAGGGAGTGTGTACAGGAGGTGATAATGTAAATAAGGGTGGATGCAAGCCTTATCCCTTTACTCCATCCGGGAATGCTGCTACGCCAAAATGTGATAGTTCATGCACTGCACCATGGAATACTTATTATTTTAATGATAAACGACATAGTATGAATAAAAAGTTTAATAATTAAAAAAGAACATTAATTTTGCAGTATCAAGATATGATGCTTTTGGCGGGAATGGTATTACTACACAGAATATAATTAAAGAACTTGAAGCAAATGGACCTGTTGTAGTTATACTTAAAGCCTATTCTGATTTGTATGCACATAAGGGAGGGGTTTATTATGTAATATTAAAATTTTTTTGTTATCATAGGTATGGAGTAAGCAAGAAGGGAGATAAATATCATACCTGATATATCTAAGACTATCTCATTATATCTAAGACTCTCTTCATCGGAAAATTTTTAAAATTTTTTGGAGGCCAAGAAGCTCTCCGGGGACGGGGATCAAACCTTATAAATGAAGATAAGTCCTACGAGGGGATTCAAAAGTAGGCAATCCAAGAATACAAGACTATCTTCATCGGAAAATTTTTTCGAAGGCCAAGAAGCTCTTCGGGGATGGGGATCGAACCTTATAAATGAAGATAAGTCCTACGAGGTCATTGAAAAGTATAAGCAATGTAGTTCTATTAGAATGTTTAAGGTCCACATAATTTTAAAATTTCTTTAGAAAAGTCAGGATGCTGTATTTAGAACAAATCATGTAGTTTCAATAGTTGGGCATGGAATTGAAGTGTGTGATAATAAAGAAACTCCATATTGGATAATCAAAAATTCTTGGGGCACAGAATTCGCTGAAAATGGATTTTTCAAAATTCGTCGGGGAGTCAATGAATGTGACATTGAAAATACTCATTTATCTTACGTTACTCCAAGAGTTTAAAATTTTATTGTGTTCTCGTGTTTAATAAATTTTGTTAAAATTGAAATAAAAATGTTAATCTGATAAAATGTTGATCTGATAAAAATGATGTTTTAATTTTGTTTAATCTTGTTTTTAATGTTTAATCTTGTTTAAATGACAAATTTTACTGATGTGCAATATAGAAATCGGTCTGGAGTTCGATCCAGTCTGGATTTTACTGGATCCAGAGTCCAGATCATGGCATTTTTTTGATCATCCTGGATTTTTTCTGAATCTGGATTTTTCTGGATCCAGATCAGAATCCTTTCCAAGTTACTAACCTAAATACAAAATGCAAGATTTTTGAAAATACCGATAACTAGTGCAATCTAATTTAAAAAAATCACAAAGTTCCCAATAGATAAGAGGATTCAGAAATTTAATGTAAATTTTGGCCAGGTTGTTTAATATTCATTAATTTTGATTCAAAATTAAATTCACTTTAAAACTATTTTCTTGCTTATTCCGCATTGCTTTCACTTAACAGTGCCACACAATATTCCATACAATAGGGAACGGACTAGGTGAGAACTGAGATAAATATCTCGAAAAAATCAAAATCTCGATAAAGGAAATTTTTGATTAAGATCTAGTCTCAGTCCGGTATCTAGTTTATACCCTTCTTTACGAGTAAAAATTAAATTAGATATTTCAATGATATCCAAAATAATAAACTCGAAAATCTAAATTTCGGTTCGAAAAAGTGAGAATACGATTTTACTCATTATGGTTATTTCTTCCGATGATGGATCTAAAATTTATTTTTTCAAGGATGGATAAAAGTTATAGGCTCTTCCCTAAAATAAAGTGAAAAGAATTTTTCTTCTCGTATTCAATTGTGATCGGACGGATACTTCGAATTCTAACTTTGTATGAAATTCTATCGAAATTCGACTGACAATTCGATTTAGATTTTAGCAAATTTCCTATCTCTAGAATTTACTTGACAGAGTTTTTTTATTAGACTTTCTCCACTTGCATTTTTCATTTTTAAAAAATTTATCTAGATTATCAGGTTTATTTAAAACTGAATTGAAATGATATTTGTAATGTCGCCCAAATAAAATAAATAAAATAAATTTTCTCGTATTATTTAATTTAAAAAATAAAAAGGCAAACAAAACAAAAATTAACAATAAATAAAGCAATCCTTGTGATTAAAAATATGATGTTTAATTAGAATTTTATTTTCAAACACGAATTTAAATAAACGTTTTGTCCAATGTTTGACACGTATTTCTCATACTTCCTTATGAGGAATAATTATTCATTTAGTTAAAGAATTCTCAAATAGTCTCTGCTTCTTAACTATAACTCCACCCCAATTTTTCGTTTTTAAGCTGATCTTAAAGCTTAACTTAACTGAAAATATTGTAGGATGATATAGTATTATTAAGTTATTTTCAGTTAAGCTTTAATATGCTTAAACTCGAAAAATTTGGGGTAGAGTTATACTGATGAAGCAGAGCCTAAATTTAAATAAACCTTTTTAAAAGATTTGGCGTTATTTTTGGTTGATTTTAGCGTTAATCAAAAATTTTAATAAATATATTTTTGATCCAAAATTTATAAAATACTAAATTATCTCTTAAGAATCCTAATGAAAATAGCTACAATATTTTCAATTTTATTATTATTACATATAACTTCATACTTGGTTTCGGCACAAATTATTGATATATTACTTGGAAGTATTATCAACCTGCTTAATGGTATTCTTGGAGGCCTTTTGAATTCAGCGGATACAAGGAAGCTTGCACAAATACTTTTGACAATTAAAAGAGATTATGATGTAGAATTGAGTAATGAAGAAATTACAGAGAAAGTTGATCACTTTTTACAACTCAGAACAGATATTAATGGAACATGGGATTTTGAGATGACAGTCTTCTTTTTCTTACCAATAGAATTTCAACTAAAATTAGGTGGAGCAAGATTCGAAGAAGTTCAAGTTGTAGGACAACCTGGATTAGGACCTCCAATTGAAGACAAAAGCTTAGAAGAAGCTCCTTCAAAGGGAGTTGATAACGAAAAAGACCAACATCCCAGAGATAAAAGGGCATCTTGCACATACAAAAATGTTTTTAGTGCCCCTGTTAACTGGTCAGGTTGTGCCCCAATCATCAACCGAATAACACATCAGGGACAATGTGGGAGTTGTTGGGCAATAGGCCCTACTGGAGCTTTTACAGATCGTTTGTGTATTCAACGAGCAAAATATGGGCTGAAAACACCAAATGATCCTTTCTTTATATATTCGGCACTTGATGCTCTAGCCTGTTCTGGTGGTGGAAACTGTTCTGGTGGTCAGCCCACCAGTGTTTGGAACTAGATGTACAAAACGGGAATAGTTACAGGAACTAGTTACAATACAAACCAAGGATGCAAGCCTTATCCTTTCTCCCATTATGGCACTACTTATAGTCCAACTTGTGACCAATATTGCAATAGAAATTGGAATAACCAATATTTTAATGATAAGCGCAAAGGTAAGTCTAAAATATAGTTTGGGAAATTATCTATTGGGAGCAGCAAAGATTCCATTTATCAAAAATTCTCAAAATTTTGCCTGCGGCACTGAAAATGAGAAGAAATCTGGCTTTGGCCTTCAAAAATTCTCAAAATTTTTGCCCGCGGCACTGGAAAAGGATCTTATCCTCTAATGGATTCTATCCTCTAATGGAGTGATATTAAAAAATCAAATCCCCTAATATCCCTCCACGCTGAAAAGTAAGAAGTATGTGGCATATCGGAGAATTTGCATGGACTAAGTGGATTTTAGGAATATTCTGTGATACCAAGGGACTTGGGAATTATATCAATAGATTTGGGGATTTGGTAGGGATTTGGAAAGAATCATAATTTGAATAATAATATGCCACTTTACAATTTTATATATGTATTCATTCAGCTTAGAAAATTAAAATTTTATTTCCGATTTCTGATTTCCGAAAAAAATTTTGATTTCCGATTTCCGAGTTCCGACTTTGAGCCATTTCCGATTTACGACACCTTTGTCATTTCCGACCCACCTCTGCTCTGTTGTAGATATCTCTTTTAATTATTTGTAAAAAATTAAAAATATGTTTATAGTGACATCATGGACATATCGTTCTGGAAAAGGTATAAATATTAGTGTTTCACCGGAACCGAAATTTTGACCGGAACCGGAACCGGAACCGGATCCAATTTGAGTTCCGGTTTCCGGAACCGGAACCGGAACTTTTCAAAGTTCCGGCCCGGAACCGGAACCGGAACCGGAACTTTTTAAAAAAAATTTTGCTAGCAAATTTTAAAAAATTTGTAGTTAAAGTAGGGTTGTCTGTTTACCAACTTCTTCGGTTAACCGAAACCGAACCAAACCAAGACTTTTAATTAACTAAAATCGAACCGAAAATTTGTCGGCAATAAGTATATATTTGGGTTAGAGAGTGGTGTATGAACGGATTTGGTGGTATATGTGTTTGATATCGGACGATATAAGAATTCAGAATTGTAATGGGGTTTAAGGGAGATCAGTGGAATAAGAAGCGATATACGTTTTATGGGGATAAGGAAGTAAAGAAGGATATTAGGCCCCTTGATATCACACTATATAACTCAAAATCCACATTGATCCATCCAAATCATCCGTTATACCATTAAACTTTCTTTTTCAGCGCCGCAGGCGAAAATTTTGAAAATTTCTGAAGGCTATAAGCAAAAAAATTTATCATTTTTTAGTCATACGAAAAATTTTAAAAATTTTAGAGGCCAAAAAACCGTAATTACTTCATGTAAAAATAAAATAATTTTTAAAACAAAGTTAAACTCATAAAATGAGTTATTTTTTAAAAGAAAAATTTGACTATTTATTGTCCTACGATATGGCAAGCGAACCCAACCTAAAATCATTAACACCTTGAGTGAAGCCCAAACTTTTAACCACTCGGACACCCGCTCATCAGAAGGCAAATGAAAGAAAATAAATAGGTATATTTCTTTCGATTTTTTTATTACAAGTATGAGAGTACGAGTATTTTATTAATATTTTTTAAAAAACTAATCCTTAGGGGTGTAAAAAAGTTCCGGTTTGGCCGGAACCAATTTGTAAACCGGAGCCGGAACCGGAACCGGATCCAATTTGAGTTCCGGTTCCCGGAACCGGAACCGGAACCAAAAAAACACCGGAACTTTCCGGAACCGGAACCGGAACCGGAACTTCCGGTGAAACTCTAATAAATATGCAGGAAACTATGAGCGAAATCAGAACGAATGGACCTGTTGTTGGCGATATACAAATTTATGACGATTTATTTGGTTTTACAGGAGATGGTGTATACAGAGTACATAATTTTCTAAAACAATTTGTATTTAAAAAATCTTTTGTAGAGAAGTCAATACGCCAAACCATATAACCCGGCCCTTTATCATACATTTGAAATTATTGGATACGGAACTCAAGTTTGTAATGGTTATGAAGTCCTTTATTGGATAATCAAAAATTCTTGGGGCGCAGAATGGGGTGATAATGGTTTCTTCAAAATTCGGCGTGGTTGGAATGAATGTGAAATTGAAAGCAAACAAATATCTTTTGGAATGCCTGATTTTTAAGATTCAAAAGTCTGAACACCTACAATAAATAAAATAACTTTGTAATTGTTAAAACACTATGTAACAACTTCAACTTAATTTTAAATATTTTATTTTTTACTTCGAGACTTTTGTAAAATATGTTTGATTTCGATATATTGAACTTATTATTTCGATTTCCGATTTTGTAGATTTTCTTTCAAAATAACCCCGTTCGGCAGTAATACATATGTATGCAGAATCGGCAAACAATCGAATATACACATGCTATGTACATACATATAAACGATATACTATTGGGCGTTTGTTGAGCTCCAACCTTTTTCAGAACCTTGGCTGCGGCCAGGGTTTTTTTTTTAGCTCAAGGAGCCACTTATTTGCATGTCAACTATACAATAATTCAAAATTACAAAATAATTTTTTGATAAATTTATTATATGTATATTTATTATCAAATAAATTTGCAATCAATTAATTTTAGGAATTCCAAAAGATAAATTTGCATCAATTCCACACTCATTATTTCCACGTTTAAATTTGAGAAAACCGGTTAAATTCTGACTAGTACCCCAAGAATTTCTAATTATCCAATAAGGTATTTTCTCATAATCACAATAAGCAGTTCCATATCCAACAATGACAACAGCGTGTGGTTTATCATAAGCACCCGAAACATGCTAAAAATAATAGAGGATCAAATAATGAAAAGAGATGGGTAAAACATGCACGAACATTAAGCTACCTAAACATTACTTGTCATTGTTTTTTTCATTTTAAAGAATTTATGGGGTAATCGGAGAGTAACATTCTGGTGATCTAGGTGAAGAATTGGAGAAGACTCCATCATTTGTTCGATTAATACTTAAGTTCTCTGTCTTTTAAATGAGAGTGTTTCTATGTAGGAAGATAGGGCACGCAGACATATCGGGACGGACATAGCGGGATATTTCAATGTACGAACAATTACCCTACTGATTTCGGGACCTAGGGCCACTTGTCTTGGATAGCATATTGTCCTGTTGAGGAATAGAGTTTTTATGTTTTAGAACAAATGTAAACACGTAAGAAATTATTTTTGTCGCCCCAATCCCATATATCCCACACCGGAAGATAGTGATCAGTTAGTGCAATGTTCGTGCATGTTTTGCTCGATAACGTTATTACAAAGTAAACTCCATCCTCCCCACTTGCGTAAAAATAAAAATCCTTATAGACATTATAGATAGCAACTACAGGTCCATTCTTATTAAGTTCGTCTTTGATAGCCTGTTCTCCTTTTAATGTGCCAGTAGATGTTACTGAACATAATAATTTAGAAAGTTTAAAATTTAAAAAATACCATAATTCTTTCTATCAGCATCATAAGGTACTCCCCAGGTTTTGTTGGTACACTTATTATAGCAATCTTTGAGAATGGGGAATGAGTTTTTAGGTCCAAACGGATAGGGTTTGCAGCCACCTTCACCTAAGTAATCAGATCCTGTACAAATTCCATTGACTTTTATCAATTCCCAAGCTTTGTAAGGTGAGCCCCCTCTACAGTCATAAGTAGATTTGTACTTAGATGAATTAGATGTGTATTCAGATGTACAAGAAAGCAATTCATACGACGAAAATATAGTATTTGCAGTACGTAATGTGCTCAGGCCCATCTTATCACGCTCAATACAATGTCGATCTGTGTAGGCGGAAGCAGTTGACATAGCCCAACAACAACCACAAAAAGCTTGATCAGGTACGTGATTGAGGAAAGGAGAACATTTTGGCCATTTATCGCGAACATCAAATTCTGTTGTGTAGTTGCATTTTTTAGTAGAATTTGATGTTTGTCTTCTGTTTCTTATTATTTGTATTCCAGTTATAGTTTCCATTTCAATATCAGTAACCCCAGAAAGTCTCTTTTGATACTCGTCTGGTAAAAGACTGAAGTACCCCAATTTAGCTGTCCATATTCCATTAGTTAGTCCATTAATTAAAACTACATTTTGAGCAGTTAGCTTGAGCTTTTCTTCAGTTACTTTTATGCCCATACTATTTAGTAAATTTAAAACTTCTACAAGATTGTAAAGTTCTTGATAAGACAAATCCAGAATTCCATTAAGAAGATTTCTTAGATAATTTATAATGTTATTTATTTTATCTTTACTTGCTCCAGTAATTAAACTGTCTATTAAATCGGTGAGTTGATCTGATTTAGAGATTAATATAAAGTTTAATAATAATAACATTGAAAATATAATAGCCATCTTCTTCATTTAAAATAACTTGGAGGATAAATACTTTTTAATAGGGTTGCCGGTCCGGTCAGGTTCGTAATATCGAGTCGAACCTCGAATTTTGGCCCGAAAAAGACTCGGTCGTGCCGGCCCGAAAAAATGACTCGAACGTCGGCCCGACTCGAAAACGGCAACACTACTCTTTAATAAAGGTAGTTGAAGCTTTGAAATAATATTTAATTAGAATAATCAAATTAATAATAAGTACATACTAAATTTAATAGAGAATAAACAAAATTAAAAATTATTTTATTAAATTAAAATGATATCATGCTTTACTGATTTATTAGTAAAAATATTTCCTTCCTGTCTATTTAATTTAAAGAGGAACTATGTATTGTCCAACAATAACACATACATATTATGACGTGGGATTTAACAAAAAATATTATAAAATTTTCTTTAGTTTAAAAATAAATGTTTAAATAAAATTTATTTAAACATAACTCAAAACTTCCTCATCAATTCTTCCTTTGCCCTAAATAATACTTTTTCCATAGTATATTTATGATAAAAACAACATTACATAGAATAAATTATGAAACGACAGATGAATTCATGGCTGTGAGTTGGTTACCAACAAGACCTGACTCGTTAGAGTGAGCGGCTTTATTAGACTCTAAAAACTTGGATTCATAATCCTAATTAATAAATCCTTGATCCTAGTGAAAGTGTTTGAGCAGAAAATTAAAAGTTATACTTTATTTCTTAAAAGAAAGTCCCATAAACGTGTTAAATTTTCTAACTTATTTATTTACATAATATTATTTACATACATACAAAATCATAAAAAATTATGATAAATATTTTGTAATTTTTAAAAATAAATGCTCATTCAATTAATTTTGGGAATTCCAAAAGAAACAGTTTGTTCAATTCCACATTCATTATTTCCACGACGAAATTTGAGAAAACCTTTACCAGTCGAATTAGTACCCCAAGAATTTCGTATAATCCAATAAGGTATTTTCTCATAACCACAAGAGGCAGTTCCATATCCAACGATAACAACAGCGTGAGATCTATCATAATCACCCCAAACATGCTGAAAAATAAAAAGATAGATCAATAGTTTAATAATGAAAACAGTGAGGAAAACATCACGAATAGGGTTGCCGGCACGGTCCGGTCCGAAAGATCGAGTCGGGCCTTGAATTTTGGCCGGAAAAAGACTCGGTCGGGCCGGCCCGATGAAAATGACTCGAACGTCGACCCGACTCGGAAACGGCAACCCTACGAACATTAACTAGGCAGTACTGGTTACTACTGCATGAATTACTATACATGAATTTAAATGAGTTGGATAGGAAGGTCAGTAGCGGCAATGTTCGTGGATGTTTTGCTCGCGTTTTAGTTAAGTATTACAAAGTAAACTCCATCAGATCCATCTGCGTGAGAATAAAAATCCTTATAGACAGAAAAGCAAGCAACTACAGGTCCATTTTTATCAAGTTCCTCTTTGATAGCCTGTTCTCCTTTTATCATACTAGTAGATGTTACTGAACGTCAAAATTTAATGGAATTTAAAATAAAAAAATACCATAATTCCTTCTATCAGTATCATAAGGTACTCCCCAATATGTGTTGGTACAAGATTTTTTGCAACTTTTAAGGATAGGGTATCTTTCTGTAGGTTTAAACGGATAAGGTTTACATCCAGTATTCCTATCGAAATCAGTTCCTGTACAAATTCCATTGTCTTTTATCGAATCCCACGCTTTGTGAGGCCAACCACCAGAACATCCCTTCTCAGGTGAACAAGAGAGCACATCAAAGGATGAATATGTAAAAGAAGCATTATTGGGTGTGCTTAGACCCTTTTTATCAAGTTCAATACAACGTCGATCAGTGTAGACGGAAGAAGCTGAAATAGCCCAGCAACTACCGCATAGCCCTTGATTTTCTACATGATTGATGAAAGAAGAACATTTTGGCCATTTATCTCGAACATCAAATTCCGTTTCGTAGTTGCAGTTTGCTTGTGTTGTTTGTCTTTTACTCCTTTCTCCTGTGTTAACTTCAGATGTATTCCTTCCAGCTATATTTTCAATTTCAATATCAAATACCCCACAAAGTTTCTTCTGATCCTCGTCTGGTAAAAGACTGAAGAACCCCAATTTAGCTTCCCAAATTCCATTAGTTAGTCCATTAATTATAACTACATTTTGAGCAGTTAGCTTGAGCTTCTCATCAGTTACTTCTATGCCCATGCTTTTTAGTAATTTTAAAACATCTACAAGTTTCAATAGTTCTTGTTGGGTCAAATCCAAAATTCCATTTAAAAGACTTTTAAGATGATCTAAGAGTTGATTAAGTGTGTTGCCGACACCGCCAAGTAAACCGCCTGTTAAACCGCCTAGTAAATCGCCGAGTAAATCAGCTTTAGAATTTGAAAGGAAGTTTAATAATAATAATGTTGAGAATATTTTAGCAAGTTTCTTCATTTTAGTTCCTAAAATGTACGTATATTAGGATGTATCAAGACAAAACTGTAAAGCATATAGCTATTTAATTACTAAAGCTTACCATGAGGCGGATGGTATGGATAACACATCAGTCCGATCTACTGAAGATGCTGGTTCGATCCCAGCCTCTGAATAACCTTTTTCACTAGCTAACGCTGAATAAAATTTTCCCGAACTAAAGGAGAGGAATAGCTATAGCCCAGCTCAGCTTTACTAAGCTTGAAAAGCAGAACGAAAATGCGGAAAGGCAAAATTAAATAATGGCGGTTAGATTTTAAAAATGGTCGGTGTACCCAGAGATAGGATTACCCCTACCTTCATCCGTTTTTTATTTTTTGCAAAAACATATGAGAAACAAAGGGACTACTTGACGCATCTGATTGTTCATAGGAAGAGGAGTAAGTGTTAATTTAGCAGGCATAAATGATTTCAGATAAGTAAAAATTAATATTATACGTATATAAATAGTTTTAGCTATTGGGTTTATAGGAGGTATAATTGTTTATATAAAAATTATGACGTGGTATTTATTAAAGCATTTATTTATCTTTTTGATGAAAACCTCTAATTTAAATAAATGTTTATTTAACTAACATTTTCTTACATTATCACTTAAAACATTCAAATTTCTCGTCAATTGTTAGCCTTTTTTACTCCAATTTTTATAATTTTTTATAATTCCACGAGTTAAACAAAGACTAAATTTAGTAAGAAATAGGAAAATAAACATTTAATGATTATTTTAAAAATGATATGAATAAATAACAAAAGAATGTTTTTATTTAAAATATAAAATTTGTTATTTCAATTTATTATTTTAATTTATTATTTTAATTTTAATATGTAAATATGTACATACAAATTTTATTTAATACGCTTTTAAATTTAACTGATAGTTCGGTAATCATTCAAAAGAGCTGTTCGAGCTGAGTAGAATGATACTATGATCTGAGCAGAATTACGAAGCTAAATCCTCGATGGACATGCTTTTTGTGATGTTGAAAGGGATTAAAACAAATGGTCATAACTATGTTTATTTAAGTCGGATTTCGATGATTTTAGTAACGTTCGACTCAGCTTGAAGAGCTCTTTCGAACGATATACATATAATTTGCCATAAAAAGTTTAAAAAATCGAAAAAATAAAAAGGAAAAAAGGGGGACCAGCCATGGAATTACCGATAGTTCTTTAATTATATGTAGATAAGACCAAATGTTTAGTTTGATTCTTCAGAAATCTAAACCAAAATGGATTTAAAATTTTAGGTAATTATAAAAAAAGCATTAGGAAAATTAAAATTTATTGACTAAATAGAAAAGTATTCTTATAAATTACATTAATTTAAAAATTATTACAATAAGAAAATAATAAAATCTGAAAATAGAAAAGAATCAAGAAAAGGTGGAAAGTTGTTTAGTTGTTTTTTTTGTTTAGTTCCCATCATTTTATATTAATTCAGAAAGCTCTCTCATAACCAAATCAAGGTCCTGTGCCTGAAAAAAATTATTGGTTTATTCATTGAAAAATATATTATTGATGAGGGACTGGGTGGGTCTTATGGCGCGAGCCCATAAAACAGACAAACGCTAAGTTGACCAAAAATTTCAGAATTTTAATGAGAATTCCTTAAAATGGAGCATTTTTGGGTACAACTTCAAAAATATTTAATGAAAAATTTGAAGTTTTTTGAGGACCCTAGCGAATGAGGACCCAACCCTAGCGTTTGATCTCATTTTTTGAGGACCCAACCCTGCGAAAACCATCTTGGGAGCTGCTATCAAAAATATGCAAAAATACCTCTATATTATACCCCAATCTACTACATACTATACCGTATTTACTCAAATAATTACCCTGGGTAATTATTGTTTCGATCTCTCGCTGGAGGGGGTAATTAATAGGGAGGGGGTAATTATTTGAGAGAGGGCAATTATTATTTCGACCTTTATATTTTATTTTATCATAGGCATATGAACAGGAATATACAATACGTTACCCAATACTGAAATAAAAAGATGTGTTTTAACTTTATTATTCCCTTAATATTTTCCGCAAAACGGATTATAACATCAATACTTCCGTCCTGGGATATATGTATAAAGTTTATTCCTGGTTAGAGGTTACTTCTGGTTAGAGGATATAATGTTAATCTTTTAATATAAATGTCCTCAAAATAGTAAACTTGTATTTCTTAAATTTTGGTCTTTATCAAAATATAAATATTTAATGTACAGTACCTGGACTTTTTTCCTGATTTGGTCCAGTTGGAACTTTTCGACCTTCCACAGACAATACAGCCATAATAGCGAACATCATTAAAGGAATTAAGAAGCTAATGGAATTTTTAATTTGTTGGATCATTTTTGAGGATATTTTAATAATTTTATTTAATTTTTTAAATAATTCTTAAAATAACAGAATATAAGGAGCTTTAAATATTCAAAGATCTTATTGAAAATTTATTTATTTAGATGTTAAAGAGAATATAATTTTTTAAAGAAAAAAATTATTTTTAAAAAAATGATTATAAAATTATATAAAAAATTATAAAAAATTACAAATAATCCCTCCAAATACCCTCCCATCCAATACATACTCTCCCACCTATTCTAATCAAATGAATAAACATAAAGGTATTTAAAAAAATTTATTTTAATTTTTAATTTTTTAAAATTCTTTTTTTTTTAATTTATAAAAATTTTTAAAATTTATTTTTTTTTTAATTTCTATTAATTTTTATTTTTTTTTTGTTTCCTCATTTGAAATGCCACATTTTAAATATTTTATAAAATAAATTTAAATTGGTAAATGTATAAATAAATACACAAATTTTGAGCAACGTGGATTTTCAAATATCGCAATTAATTTTAATCCAAAGCTCAATTCATAGCTTAAAATTTTAAAATAAATTTCAAAGCTCAGAAACCTTTGAGAAAAGTTTTTAAAAAATGCTACTAAAAAATCTTTTTTTAATTTTCTAGTGGAGAGATTTTAGATTTTTAAGTTTCTGGGTAGGGATATGATTTATTGTATTTACTCGATTAATTCCGCTGGGGAATTATTTTTTCACTCATCCATGGTATGGGGATGGGGTGTTTTGATAGAAATTGGGGTGTTTGATAGGGATGTTTTGATAGGGATCAGGGTGTTTTGATAGAAATTATTGAAGGGCGGGGAATTATTCGAGTTTTGAAATTTGAGCGTGTAGTAGGGTATTTGGGGGAGGGGATTATTGTTTCAATCTATCCGTAGCAGGCGGAATTATTCGAGGGAGGAGGGAATTATCGAGTAAATACAGTAGGCCTGGATTTTTATAAATTCTGATTCTTTTTTACTTCCTGTATCTGATTTGCTCCTGTTCAAGGTTAAAAACTAGAGTTTAAACCCGGACCGGATCGGGGTTTTAGGGATCCGCGAGTCCCAATCCGGGTGTTTTGATAGAAATCGGGATTTTGATCTGGAAAATCCGGTCCGGATAATAATTTTTTAAATCCCGAAATCGGATCCGATATTTTTCAAATTTTAACTTCTATTAAGAACTCAAACATCGTGTCATTTAAATTAGCTGTTTTCGGGAGCTTGGTCTTGCAAAATAGAACACAGGATTAACCCATCTTTGACTTTTATAAATTTCCAAAATTAATTATAACGATTCTAATTTATTTATAGTTCCAAATATTTACAAAGAAAATATGATGTTCTCCAAATCTCTCAAGAATATTCAAATAATATTCATTCTGCTTATGTTCACTGTAATTATTCTTCAATAAACACAAGCTTGCATTTAACCTAATATAAAAATGCCATCCAGAAGGAGATGCAGAAATATGTTGTGAAGACATCATTGTAGCGCAGAGACAGGGTGGATATGTGTAAATAATAAAGATAATGAAGAATTGGTTAACAATTGCACTAACGAAACTTGCTAAGATAAAATTTAAAAACTGAATTTTCCTGGAAGTTAAAAAAACAATAAAGGGGACTTTTTTAATTTTAAAAATGGACCTTTTAAATAATTTTGACATGTATATTAAATCCATTTAATTTTTAAAAGTGCTGTAAAAAAGTATTTTTTGGGATGAATTAACTATTAATTATTAAATTCTTTCTGACAATTAATTTATTTAAAATTAAAAAATAAAAATTTTTTGTTATCAATAATGGCCAATTTTTCCGAATAAATTCTTTAAAATAAATTTAAAATAAAGTCCATTTCTTTCCTTTACGTAATAGATGGCTGAGGAGGGTCGGAATAGTCAGAGGTGTCGGACATCGGAAGAGCTGGAAATCGGAAATGGCTCAAAAGTCGGAACTCGGAAATCAAAATTTTTTTCGGAAATTGAAAGAAAGAAGACGTCAGAAATCGGAAGTCGGAGTTCTGACCCACCCTTGGTAGATGGGACAGAAAAATGGAAATATAAAATTTTATTGCCGATTGTACTTAAAATATTTGATTGGACATATAAAATTTCCTTGGCGTATAGTCTAGACAATTTAAAAAATTTGAAAGAAATAAAAACAAAATTTTAATTCGATTCTTGTTTACAAAAAAAAGTACAATCATAAAAAACACTGCCTCTATTCCAAATTTTATCATAAGACAGCTAATAAATTTTAAAGTTTTATAGGTTCAGGCTTTTAATTGTTAAATAAAAATGTGACAACTTTATTTTTATTATTATCTAAAGTTACGATTGCACTTTTTAAATAAAATTCTTCTTGAATTTTTCAGATATTTAAAATTTTAATAAAAAAATTTTTTATGAATCTGAACATAAAAATTTTATTATTAAAAATTCCCAGACTAAAAGTACAAAAAATTGGGTATAAAAGAATTTCTATAAGAATTAAGTATCTTTAGATAAAAATTTTATACCAAAATTTCGCATTTTCATTAAAATTTTTAAATAAGTAACAATTTCCTTTATGATTGTTGCCTCTTTAGAAAAAAATAAGATAAGGCTCCTAATGTCACTTTA